ACAAGATGACATGGCGTCATACCCTGGGTTATTCTGAACAGAATGAGCCTGTGTTTGTCTACAGTGAAGAAACTTTGCCACGGCACACGCCTCTGAATGCACTCCTGACTAATTTCTATGCGCACCAGGATTACTGTTTCCCTGAATTGCATTGTGAAAGCCTAATACTAATATCATATTTTATACCTTAGCTAGTCATGTTGGCAATAGAACAAGCTGACCCAGATTGCGATTTATAATGGACCGTTTTTGGATTGTGTAAACAACAACAGTAATTGTGTGATGGTGGGGATGCAGGGTTGTGTTCCAAACAAAACAACTACAAGTGAGCTTGCTCTAGTTCCTTGACTGCACAGCTAAAAAAGTACCTTATAGTTTAAGACTCATTGAGTCATGAAAGCACATTTTAAATTACTTAGGAAATGTGCACACTTTGGAGAGATGTGTGGCCACTTGTTGACACCAATTATTCTTCTCACTCAAACCCTTGTCATGTTTTTGTCTTATGTTCCACCTACCCCACATTTCCCAGGAATATTCTTATCATGTTACTGAATGTATCCAGAGTATAACATTTCATCATCAACAAATGCGGCGTAAAGTACAGTAAATGTAAAATGCACATAAAATCAACAGTTTGGATTCAGCTTTGTGTCAGGTGAACTGTTGCTTCCTCAGCATTGGTCTAATAATTTTCACATAATCTCCAAACTGTTCACTTTCAATTGCTACCATGGTTATGCATATGCTTTTCAAATTTATTCTATAAGAATCATTTCATTTTATCCCCATCCATATAGGCCAATTCCCACAAGTGTTAAGGGTTAATTGCAGAAAATGCTGTTATCGAGGTCATTTCCTTAAAAGGTGACATCAGAGGGAGAAGTGATAGACGAGTTTCCCACTAGTAATTACCAGTTGGAGGGCCGTTGAAGTGGATTTTCCCCCAGCCATATGTGGTAAATTCCCACTTCCCACTTGGTACGAATGCAGCATAAGGCCTTTGAGGGTTTTAAAAGGGGTTGGGGGGCACTCAATATTTAAATGTTTGGAGTTAGGATGGGACCCCCTTTAACGTCCAAGGGGCTTTAGCCCCAAAGGGTTTTGTTTTAGAGGTTAAAAAGGGGTCTGGCCCGCCCAAACAGCCAAAATTTTCCCAAAATAAAAGTGGAACGGTTTTAAAATTTCGGAAAAAGGGTCTAGAATAATAGCCTTTACTTTCATATCACTCCGAAAGAAAATTTTACAAATGCAAATATTTTTGTTCCTGTTTAAAGAGAAAATTTTTAAAAAAAAGTAAATTCATGATCTCCAGTATACCCCCCCAAAACATATGTATGGAAAGCTGACATGTCCACATTTAGAAAGACAAGATTTGGAAAGGGATATACAGTTTGGTAAATGTTTGCTAAACATAGCAGGAGACTGGTTTAGTTTGGGCTGTGAATATTTCCCTCATTGGTGTCATTTTACATTTTGACTAACGACTAACCTTTTCCACTCGATTACAACTACCCATTACCCTTTCCTCTTGATTCTCTCTACCTCCTCTTCCCCTCCCTCATCTCACCATCTTTCCCTCCACTCTTCCACTCCCTCCATCTCTCCCCCCACTTCCCCCTCCCTCTCCCAGGTACCAGTCTCCTTCAGGAGGTGGTGTATCTGGTGAGTCAGGGGGCAGACCCAGATGAGATTGGTTTTATGAACATTGATGAGCAGCTTCCTGCTCTGGAGTACCCTCAGCCTGGTCTAGAGATCATACAGGTAGGCCTACAGCACTGAGTATTACTACTGTTCTGGAGTACCCTCAGCCTGGCCAGAGATCATACAGGTAGGACTACAGCACTGAGTATTACTACTGTTCTGGAGTACCCTCAGCCTGGCCTGAGATCATACAGGTAGCCCTACAGCACTGAGTATTACTACTTCCTGATCCTGAATTATTTTTGGTCACTCCAATGCTGTAGAGCTGATTCAGCCTACTTATAAGAAAAATAAGAAAAACATTTTTTTACAGCCTTGTTTCAGCTGGTTTTTACCTGGTATTGCATGTAGTAACAAGTACCTTGTAGCTTGTTATGCTACTTTTTTCAAATAAATATGTTACATCTTTCAAAGAAAATAAAAAAACCTTAGTAGCAGACTAGAATAAATGACAATCATCCCATTTTCCCAAGGGAGCAAAGACAGCAAGATCCTTGTTGTATTATACAATATGTGTAATGTATTACCAGTAACAAATATTAGTTAATTATATTAGAAATATGCTAGCTGGCTACACAGAACATTGCATAATTAGGTTGATATATGAGGTCTTATGTTGGTATTTAGCAGATGTTCATGTTTATGGTCAGTTTCAAGTCGTAAGATGCATTGCGATTGGTCATGAACCCATTTTCATTGAACCTCAACACCTTAATCCTGATGTCTACAAAATTGATGATATGGCTCCTTAAGCCCCCCATAAGCAATGGCAAAAAATATTGTATTCTAACGTTCATAAAATATTTTGGTAATGTCTATTAAACAATGATTGTGTTTTATCCTGTGATCAAGTAGATAATCTCACAGGAACATATTTAAAGAGTACCAAATGCTTGGATTTATCTCAAGTAAAATAATCGCAAGATTACAATAACAATGCTAGACTTTGATGTTGGGGAAAAGTTGGGCTGAAGGGGCCAGTAGAAGATGATTAGATAAATATTAGAATATTATATGCAGGCAGCACTGTAGGCAAACACGAGAGCTTAGAATGTCATGTGTAATCTGAAACCTACAGTAATCTTGCTCTGTAAACAACTTTATTTAATCAACATGTAATACTGTTATGTAATAAACATGTTGGATTCACTTTTTAAAAAATTTTTTATAGACATCTTGCTGTTGCGCCAGATAGCATATCTCGGGTCTCCGGTCACAAGGAGTACACTTCCCCAAACATGCTCACTAACATGTAGCAACCCTTTTCTCTTCTCCTACAATGACTTTATACATCAAGACATCACAAAGGCTTAAAGCCTAACCAGAGGAGGCTGGTGGCAGGAGCTATAGGAGGACAGGCTCATTGTAATGGCTGGAATGGAATCTATGGAATGGTATCAAACAAATGGAAACCACATGTTTGACTCGCCTTGCTCCCTCAGACGGTCAAACAAATGGGTGTAAATACACACATGTGCATGCACGTATACAAACACACACTTTTTCAACCAATAGGCCTAGTCAACACAATACTTATTTTATCAAGCTATATCTAACTGCTGTGTCCATAGTTTTCACGTCCTAATGTGATGTTTTGACTAGATGTGTATGGGCTTTATGGTGCTCTCTCTGAGTCTGTTGCCTTTGGCTGACACCACAGTGTCTAAGGCCACGGTTCACCTCACTAGAGCAGATCTTAGTTGCGCAATTTTACATCTAACTGTTTGGTGCAGTATTTCTCAAGTTAAAAAATGTGCACGAAAGAGTTGTCTATTGTTGAATGACAACAAACACTTCATTGACGAATCCCTACTGTTGACCAATGACCGAACTTCGGCTTGCTTCAAGAAAATATATTGTGCGCACGAACAGCCGAAAAAATCCTTGCTTAAGACCAAAACTAACAAAACGTACCCGTTATTCACACAACCAGGCCAGTGTCTCCTCCATGCACATCCAATTGGGTGATAAGTTGGATGAAAAAGCTAGTAAAACCCCCATTATTATATATGTGCTCGGTGTATTCAGCTTGTCAACACTTCTTACAAAAACAAGTAGTGATGAAATCAATCTTTCCTCCACTTTGAGCCATGAGAGATTGACATGCATGTAATTTAATGTCAGCTCCCCGTGTACATTTAAGGGCCAGCCATGCTGACCTGCTCTGAGCCAATTGTAAAGTCCCTCTTTGTGGCACCTGACCACATGACTGAACAGTAGTCCAGGTGCGACAAAACTAGGTCCTGTAGGACCTGCCTTGTTGATAGTGTTGTTAAGAAGGCAGAGCAACGCTTTATTATGGACAGACTTCTCCCCATCTTAGCTACTGTTGTATCAATATGTTTTGACCATGACAGTTTACAATCCAGGGTTACTCCAAGCAGTTTAGTCACCTCAACTTGCTCAATTTCCACATTATTCATTACAAGATTTAGTTTAGGGTTTAGTGAATGATTTGTCCCAAATACAATGCTTTTAGTTTTTGAAATATTTAGGACTTACTTATTCCTTGCCACCCATTCTGAAACTAACTGCAGCTCTTTGTTAAGTGTTGAGGTAATTTCAGTCACTGTAGTAGCTGATGTGTATAGTGTTGGGTCATCCGCATACATAGACACACTGGCTTTACTCATGTCGTTAGTAAAGATTGAAAAAAGTAAGATTCTACCTGGATTATGTTGGAGAGAACACCCCCTGTGTTCTGTTAGACAGGTAACTCTTTATCTACAATACATAACACATACGTTTTTCCAGCAGGAGACTATGATCCATAATGTAAAAAGCAGCACTGAAGTCTAACAAAACAGCCCCTACAATATTTTTATTATCATTTTCTCTCAGCCAATCATCAGTCATTTGTGTAAGTGCTGTGCTTGTTGAATGTCCTTCCCTATAAGCGTGCTGAAAGTCTTGTCAGTTTGTTTACTGTAAAATAGCATTGTATCTGGTCAAACACAATTTTGCTCCAAAAGTTTACTAAGGGTTGGTAACAGGCTGATTGGTCAGCTAGCTGAGCCAGTAAAGGGGGCTTTACTATTCTTAGGTAGCAGAATTCCCTCCAGGCCTGAGGGCACACACTTTCTAGTAGGCTTAAATTGAAGAAGTAGCAAATAGGAGTGGCAGTATCGTACGCTATTATCCTCAGCAATTTTCCATTCAAGTTATCAGACCCCGGTGGCTTGTCATTGTTGATAGACAACAATAATTTGTGTGTGAGAGAGAGAGCGAGAGAGAGAGAGAGACTGTACTCGTACTCCCTGGGCCAGCTGGTAGGTCTGGTTGTACTTCCACATTCATTCCAGCACCAGCTCCAAAACGTCTGGGTCAGGGGCCTCTCTGTGGAAGTCAACCCCCATGAGGGAATCGATCCTGGGCAGGAGGCCGGGGATCTGCTCCAGCTGCTGCCTGGAGCTCTCCACACGGTACGTCCATGCATGGTCAACCAGGAAGATACTGGAGGATGGAGGAATTAGAGGATATGAGGTAAAAGAGATAAAGGACAGGGAGTAGAAGAGGAAGAGGAAGTGATTAGGAGGCAGAACAGACAAAGAATGGAAGAGCTGTAGAGGGAGGTGAAATGCTAGTACAGTGAGGAAAAAAAGTATTTGATCCCCTGCTGATTTTGTACGTTTGCCCACTGACAAAGAAATGATCAGTCTATCATTTTAATGGTAGGTTTATTTGAACAGTGAGAGACAGAATAACAACAACAAAATCCAGAGAAACGCATGTCAAAAATGTTATAAATTGATTTGCATTTTAATGAGGGAAATAAGTATTTGACCCCCTATCAATCAGAAAGATTTCTGGCTCCCAGGTGTCTTTTATACAGGTAACGAGCTGAGATTAGGAGCACACTCTTAAAGGGAGTGCTCCTAATCTCAGCTTGTTACCTGTATAAAAGACACCTGTCCACAGAAGCAATCAATCAATCAGATTCCAAACTCTCCACTATGGCCAAGACCAAAGAGCTCTCCAAGGATGTCAGGGTCAAGATTGTAGACCCACACAAGGCTGGAATGGGCTACAAGACCATCGCCAAGCAGCTTGGTGAGAAGGTGACAACAGTTGGTGCGATTATTCGCAAATGGAAGAAACACAAAAGAACTGTCAATCTCCCTCGGCCTGGGGCTCCATGCAAGATCTCACCTCGTGGAGTTGCAATGATCATGAGAACAGTGAGGAATCAGCCCAGAACTACACGGGAGGATCTTGTCAATGATCTCAAGGCAGCTGGGACCATAGTCACCAAGAAAACAATTGGTAACACACTACGCCGTGAAGGACTGAAATCCTGCAGCGCACGCAAGGTCCCCCTGCTCAAGAAAGCACATATACATGCCCGTCTGAAGTTTGCCAATGAACATCTGAATGATTCAGAGGAGAACTGGGTGAAAGTGTTGTGGTCAGATGAGACCAAAATCGAGCTCTTTGGCATCAACTTAACTCGCCGTGTTTGGAGGAGGAGGAATGCTGCCTATGACCCCAATAACACCATCGCCACCGTCAAACATGGAGGTGGAAACATTATGCTTTGGGGGTGTTTTTCTGCTAAGGGGACAGGACAACTTCACCGCATCAAAGGGACGATGGACGGAGCCATGTACCGTCAAATCTTGGGTGAGAACCTCCTTCCCTCAGCCAGGGCATTGAAAATGCGTCGTGGATGGGTATTCCAGCATGACAATGACCCAAAACACACGGCGAAGGCAACAAAGGAGTGGCTCAAGAAGAAGCACATTAAGGTCCTGGAGTGGCCTAGCCAGATCTGCAAAGAGGAGTGGGACAAAATCCCTCCTGAGATGTGTGCAAACCTGGTGGCCAACTACAAGAAAAGTCTGACCTCTGTGATTGCCAACAAGGGTTTTGCCACCAAGTACTAAGTCATGTTTTGCAGAGGGGTCAAATACAAATACTTATTTCCCTCATTAACATGCAAATCAATTTCTAACATTTTTGACATGCGTTTTTCTGGATTTTTGGTTTGTTATTCTGTCTCTCACTGTTCAAATAAACCTACCATTAAAATTATAGACTGATCATTTCTTTGTCAGTTGGCAAACGTACAAAATCAGCAGGGGATCAAATCATTTTTTTCCCTCACTGTATGTCTCTTGGATGTGTAAGAACATTTGTAAGTGTACAAAAGTGTACCCACTTTACACCTAGGCCTACTTATAAAAACATATTCTGTGCTTTTGAAATGCTCAACTGCATATCTCTCTATGAAGAAGTGAGGGGGGTAGGTCACGTGTGTTGGTGACTTGTATGAGATCCAACAGGTGGTTATTTATCATGACTACAGCGTCCTCACCTGGTGGGCTCAAAGGCTTGCAAGCCAGTCCCCCTTGTCACAATCACTTTTATTTACATCTCTACACCAGGATTGGCTTTCTCTCTTGATCTCCTTCTTTATCGTTCTGTTGTACCTGCAATGATGCCGAACACGTCCCCTGCATCGTACACCTAGATCCGAAAAGCAAGGGCAGATCAAGGTAGGCTAGCCAGATAATAAGAACGACATGACCATAAAATCCAATTGAATACAACTGCATGCACATAACGATAACTTTGAAATTTCGTTAAACCAACTGTAAAGCATGTAAACCATTCAGACAGGCATTTGATCTGATACTGAGCCATAGCAAATATTATCTAGCCATAGCCATAAGGCTACCAACCTCATTGATAAGTTTATAGTACAAGCTCTTCCAATACTGCGGTGGGATTCTTGAGGACTGGAGTGCAAAGAGAAAATGCTACTGAAATGTTCATCCTAGCCATTCATAACGTTTGTGTTTGATTCACTGAGGTACATAGTCACGGGAAGTAGGGGTGCTACAGCACCACCCTGAAACATCGGAATTAAAAAATGTAATACTAAAAATATATCTTCTTCTACTACTTCTATAAACTGGCAAACAAACTGAAAGGGTGCACACTGCCACCTAGAGTGTGTTGTTTGAACAGGTATAAAGCCAATGTTGGGGATTTACTGCCACCTGCAGTTATGGAATGTTTCCTTAAATATAATTAATTGGCTGATCCCTCCTGGTGACCTGGATGGAATTATGTGATCATTCCTTAACCCATAGGCAATCCCACCCAGTACTTCAAATGGTGAAAGTCTTCAATGGCGCTGAAACAGGCTTTCGGGCACCAGAGTCCTCTATCTATCTCTATGGAATGAACATAGGCTGTATCCCAAATCACCCCCTTCACCTCGCCATTTGCACAAGTTTCCCAAAACTGAGGGAGTGAAAATTATCGAGGGTGTAGGCAGGGGCTAATGAGCCCCTCCGGTGATTCATGGGTAACTGCATACATGGAGTGTGTCGGAAAGTGGGCATGTCGACAGAAGGAGGGAGGATCAACAGAAGTGGGTGTACTGAAAGCTAATCAGCTAATCGAGTCGATTGTTAACAACTGTAGCATTTTAGCTAACCCTAACCCTTTTCCTAACCTTAATCTCATTCTCCTAACCTGCCACATTAATTATCCTAACCTGCCACATTAATTATCCTAACCTGCTACGTTAATTATCCTAACCTGCTACATTCATTCTCCTAACCTGCTACGTTAATTATCCTAACCTGCTACGTTAATTATCCTAACCTGCTACATTAGTTATCTTAACCTGCTATGTAAATATTAAGCTGGCCCGCAGTGCACCTGACTATGGCCGGTCTAACCAATAATGGAGCGCTGATGTTACACCCATCGCTGTTGAATGATCCACCCACTGATGTTACACCCATTGCTGTTGATCCACCCACTTCTTTTGGAACGCCCACTTTCAGACACACTCCATGTATGCAGTTACCCTTGACTCACCGGAGGGGCTCTTTAGCCCCTACATCCTCGATAATTTCCCCTCACATTTGAGTCATGGGTAACTGCATACATGGAGTGTGTCTGAAAGTGTGCGTGTCAACAGAAGTGGGAAGATCAGCAGAAGTGGGTGTAGGGAAAGGGAATCAGCTAACAGGGCAGATTTGTTGCCACTCAAGATGTTTTGCATGGCTGATTGGGCTGCACAACGAGTCAATTGTTGACAACTGTAGCATTTTAGCAAACCCTTTTCCTAACCTTAACCTCATTTTCCTAACCTGCCACGTTAATTATCCTAACCTGCTACGTTAATTATCCTAAACTGCTACGTTAGTTCTTTTAACCTGCTATGTAAACCTTAAGATGACCTGCGGTGCACCGGACTATGGCCGGTCTAACCAATAATGGAGCGCTGATGTTACACCCATCGCTGTTGATCCACCCACTGATGTTACCAGTGGCGACCCGTCATTCAGGGCAGGTGGGGCAGAGTTTTGAGCCCCACCTGTTTAGCAAAAAAAAAGTATTATTATTATTTGTTGCCTGTTTTGCATGTTATTTTGGCATTAATACATGTCACATATCAGTTTGCAAACAATGTAAAAAAAAATAATAATATTTGAGTTAATAAAGCCGCATACAAACATGGTCTCTTTTTTGCTTTTTTGAGTAAGGCAGCTCGAAAATGCAGGTGTTTCAGCCTAGCTCAGTGCTTTCTGTGGTGGGGCAGCCAGTGGAAAATACGGAGCGTAGGGGTTGGTAATGTTCTCTAGTTGCACCGTGATTGGCTCAGTGTTCTGTCACTCATGGGGACACTACGTCATTGCAAAATCTACTGGGAGAGCTAAAAAATTCAAGCCCCTTGGGTTCTGCCATAGATTTACATTAGAGTTGCCCATCCAAGAAGGCTCAAGGTTATTGGCCACAGATAAAATGATGTCAAATCACGTTATATCTACTATAGCTTTGATTGGACTGATCGTGTTAACATCATACTTCATCATCAAAATCTTAGCTAGCAAGCTAGACAAGCAGTCATCATCATGAATCAAGTCGAAAATCTACTGGCAAATCTTTTTCAATCCTTGTCATATGAAGATAAATTATAGATAAAACGTATCGTGCTCATCGGCCATTGGACATAAACATTACACAACAAGTTGGAAATTGCAAATTCAACAATGAGGAATGAATGAGTGGCTAACTGCAAGCTTTGCAAAGCAATCACTAGCCTGCTATTCAGTGGAGAGGGTGTGTGGTCCAAGTCTGGGTTTAATGGTCTCTTTTCCAAGCTCAAAAGGATAAACATTCAACACCATGGGCCAGAAAAGGTTGAATACATTGGCCATGCTGTCAATTAAGCATGACTTCTGCCGCGTTCAAAACAACTGGAAACTCGGAACTGGGAAATCTCAGACTTCAGTGAGCTCAAGAAAGCTGGGAACTCTGAAAAAAACGAGCTCCGACTGGAAAAATAAGTTTTGAACGGTCATCCAACTCCGAATTCCAAGTCAGGAACTCGGGCCTCTTTCTAGAAGATCACTGGCGTCATGATTCAACCTTGTTTTTTTCAGAGTTCCCAGTTGTCTTGAAAGCACCATAAATCCAGAGAATGCTAGACTTTGATGACAAAGTTTGATGACAAATTTTGCCCACAAGAAGGACCGCCGCACCACCATCCTGTTCAAGTGAGCACAGCACAACAAGGTGAGTCCAAAAATGTATTGTATGCTGCTGCATAAATTATGTAATTTGCCAGGGAGATGTATACTGTAGCTAAGAAAGTAATACTAAGTGTATGTCGTGTAGTAAGCTGTTAGTAGCCCATGTGCCTCACCCTAATAATTTGGTCCCTTTCCCTCTCGTAACTTACTGTTCTGACTTGGTGATGCACATGTAGCCTATAGCCTGTTTTAGAGAAATGTAATCATTGAATATTGTAAGAGCTTTCATTGTCTGCTTATATGCCCCCTTTATTTATCCTGAAGTTCTGACTTGGTGTACAAGGAGAATACTGTAAGAATGGCCCATGTTCTGAATTCTGTCGCTGTACATTTCAAAAGTGCTGAACAAATAGCTATATTGACTACATCTGTCCTAGCTCGCTCATTAATGTCTTAATCGAAATTACGGATTGCCTCTTATTGGCTCATTGTTCCCTTATGCCATAGTTTGTACATCTCAATTGTAAGTAGAAACCACATTTGTTTAAGCAAGTCAGCCATATCAGCTATGTTTTTAAAAAGGCAGTAAATGAGGCTGGGGGGGGGGGCAGTGCAAATAGTCCGGGTAGCCATGATTAGCTGTTCAGGAGTCTTATGGCTTGGGGGTAGAAGCTTGTTTAGTGTTGTGTTGTGTAGTTGCTTTGCTGGAATGCATCTAAACATTTTTTTGTTTTGTTTGCCCCACCAAGATTGACATGCTAAAATCGCCACTGGATGTTACACCCATCTCTGTTAATCCACCCACTTTTTTTTGCAACGCCCACTTTCAGACACTCCAAGTATGCAGTTACCCATACTTGGAGTCTCCGGTAGGCACTTCGACTGAGCCAGCAACGCTGCCGGCTTCATGGCAAAGAGGAATTCCATACACCCAGTTATTTTTGAGTTTGCGCAATTTCACACTAAAGAATGGCGCGGCGTGCCAAATTATATGACTCGTGCATTTCGAAACTTGACACATGTAAAAGATGAAATACCTCCCAAATTAAATGTTTAACTATTACTGAGATTTATATTTTGTAAAACGACAGAGGGTATTTGTTCATTTGAATTTCATGCTTGTTTTATTATTTAAAAGTGGAACATGAATTGCATTATTCAAGTCACGAGTGTGTCCCGAAGTTAATGGGTTTATTGATCCCCTCGAGACTCTCTGGAAGTCAGCCTTGGTGTTTCGTCGGCAACACATGACAAAGAGGGTAGTTTGGGATTCACCGAGAGACAGGACCAACTGGGGTGTATTCATTACACCGATTCTGTTGCAAAACGTTTCTGTTGTTCTGTTTTGCATCAGAAACCATTTACTCCAAACGGTAAACATTTTGCAACAAAAACGAGAGTTTCTATTGGACAAATTCAGGTAGGTCCCTCCCTACTGGAAGAGTATACCATACTTCAAGTGCACTTTTAGTTTTATTTGTATTATTATTTTTGAGCTCGGCATCATTGGGAAGGGCTCATAAGCAAGCATTTCATGGTAAAGTCTACACCAGTTGTATTCGGCGCATGTGACAAATACAATTTTTATGCTACACTCAGAAATAAAGGTGCTATCTAGAACCTAAAAGGGTTATTCGGCTGTCCCCATAGGATAACACTTTGGAGAACCCTTTTTGGTTCTAGGTAGAAACCTGGACCCAAAAAGGTTTCTACCTGGAACCAAAAAGGGTTCTCCTATGGGGACAGCTGAAGAACCCTTTTGAAACCCTTTTTTCTAAGAGTGTAGTGACATATTATTAATTAACTTCTGCTGTACTTCATACTATTTGCTAATAGCCCTCTGAATCGCTACTACCAATACATTGTAAGTGTGTAGAATACATCTCAAATTATGTCTTACAATCAGGCTACACTTAGTAAACTGTGGGGTCTTTTTAGCATGTAGAAGTACACTTAGTACACTTTGGGCTACCCTGGGTAAATTAAGCCACCTACACATTTCTGTACTGAATTAAATATTACCACTTTTTAAAACCATGTCAATCTTTATTTCCCAAACACAATTCAATTCAATCAATAGACTTTTAAAAAAATCATTTAAATCATATTTTAACACAACCATGTCAATCTTTATTTCCCAAACACAATTCAATTCAATCAATAGACCTTTAAAAAAATCATTTAAATCATATTTTAACACAGCCTTAACACCTAACAAACACTTTGTACTTTTTAAAACACTTTTAACATACAGTAGGCCAGGCCCTGTTGTTGCCTCATATCCCAGAGATAATGCCTTGCATTATGCCTGGGAAGAAAATGCTTACATTTGCTCAACTTGTCATTTGCTCAACTCTTGGCTCAACTTACCCCATGGTCGTTGGCTCAACTTACCCCAAGGCAAACATCTTGACTATATTAGCCCACACAGCTACAAGGATGCACTTTCATGCTAGGTTTAGGATCTCATACTGAAGGTTATTGAGTCCCCAACTGATGTATAGAACAATCTTAAAATGATCTACGTACTTTGGTTTAGATACAAGCATCATGAAACCTCGAACACCAATTAATTGGTGAAAATCTTTTTTAACTTAACTTGCTTATCACTCTTTCCATGTGGTTTCTTCCTTCAGACTCCATGACATGATGGCGTCTTCTGAAATATTTAGTTAAATAATTAATATTGTGTATGGTTTCCTAGAAACAAGGGTTAATTTACCACTTTCGCTCAACTTATCCCACTCTCCCCTACTTATTATGCACAGTTTCCAATGATGAGGCACCTCAGTAGGATTTTAACAGTTACAGTATATTTAAAAACAGAAGGTCACATCATAAAAAACGTTGTTGTGTTTTATGTTATTAAGATAAGGGCCTTAATGTGAAATAACAACAGTAAAGTATATTTAAAAAATGTTTTATTGTCACATACACCGTATAGGTGCAGTGAAATGTGTTGTTTTACAGGGTCAGCCATAGTAGTATGGCGCCCCTGGAGCAAATTAGGATTAAGTGCTTTGCTCAAGGGCACATCAACAGGTTTTTCACTTTCTCGGCTCAGGTATTTGAACCAGCAACTTTTCGTTTGCTGGCCCAACGCTTTAACCACTAGGATACCTGCCGTCCTAGGCACAGGTAGGCAGAGGTTTTCCGTGTTACACACGTTACAAATATAATTACAGTATGTAGCCTACTATAAATGGGGCAGTGTGATAACTTACATTTGACATTTGATTATGCCATTAAAATTGTGAATCCTATGCACGTAAAGTTATTGTGCAAAAGCAATGGTCAACATTGAGAGAAGTTCTGAAAGGAACTTTCAAGAATATTGCGATTTCAAATTGATTGACCTCACAGCTCATCACAGTAGTTCATAGTTCAGTCCTGTCTAATACAAACAAAATAACACAGCACAGCTCATAGTCAAGAAGTCAATGTCAAATAAAATCAACAGTCCGTCTGGAATGAGGAATGAAAGCTACATTTGACTGAACACAGGTAGGTAGGTAGGTAGGTAGGTAGGTAGGTTGATAGATTGTGACAACATGTTATCTGGTAAAACTAGATAAAGTGATTTATAAAATGTGTAATTCCCAAAAAGGAATTCATTTGCAGAGGTCTTTGGTGGTGAGCTGGTACATTGTTTTCCAATGTGTACAATAGAATAAAATATGATTGGTGGAGTGATCAAAATACATGATTGAGTCATTAGCGTGTCTATAGCAACAGTTCTGGATCCCAAAGCTATTCGATCACATGACCATCTTTTGCCCATCTTAAACCACCTTTCAGTTCCTATACACTATAAACAGGCCCAGTGGGAGGTAACTTGAGCTGGTACATGTGGTTTCCATATGTTTGATATTTTCCATTTATTCCATTCCAGCCATTACAATGAGCCCGTCCTCCTATAGCTCCTCCCACCAGTCTCCTCTGAGGCTCAGATAGGCTAATAACCGATTGATAATGCTAGCTTGTAGTTTGCTGCAACCTACAGTATCAGACCACTACTTATGACACAACTTTGATTACAATATAGCAACAGTATGTCAAGGGGCAGGGCTCCAACCTGCAACCATTTAAAGGCATTTTGCAACCCTTTGATTTGGCTGTGTGAGTTAAATTTGTAATTGGTCGCGTGCGAGCTGAACATTCATTACATGGTCACCTCACTCAAAAGTTTCAAAACGTCCTATTTTTGGGGTGGCTAAAACCATGATTTGGTCAAACAGTAAAGTGCATTATTATCCTCATGATTCCTGTAATGAAAGTATTTGCCCAGCCCCTGGGCCTGTTCCGCTGGGGCCTGCTGCTGTGATGAGCAAGCCACTTGATGTGCACTCCGGGAGAGAGAAAAAAGGCTTCTTGATTGTATAACATTTCAATATAACATTTAAAAATCAAATTGTGGGATACACAGCTTTAGAAGCAACTATTGTTCTCAGATTTCTGTGGGTATACTTTATTTTGGTCATCTCTTAATATTGAGCTCGATAGCAACTATTTTACAAAGAAGATATTTAATATGGCTTTAAGATACGAAGCCCGCGAAATGCGCAATTGTGCATTGATCCATTGCGAGTGCATACGGTAGCAGGGCTACAACAGCAAAAAAAATGTAGGACATTACATTTACTTGTAGATTAATACATGACTAACGTTACTAGCAGTGGGTATTATATTTAGTGTTAGCGATCTGGCTAATGTGTTTTGAGTTTTCACTTCCTCGTGGTGTATAAGCCCCCAAATAAATTAGCCTATGATATTAGTGCACATACAGAATTAAGCAAATTCAGCTCTATTGAAAAAAATTCATAAAATTCAGGAGCCCTATTTTAACAGTAAAATTATAACAACAAAACCCTATTGTCAATTCAATTCATGACAATCACTGGATTAGGTTCCACATCAAAATATTGTATCTGGAATCATGCATTCCTGCTTGGACATGTGAGATGAAACAATGTATTTACTGAATAGCCTACCATCTCAGTAGTTATGGTCTATCTTGGGATAGTTATAAAAATCTTTGATATGACTTTACTCCCATAAAAACTGTGGATGGAATCGTGGCTAATGAGGTAATATAAATGTGATGTGACTAAAATATGACTAAAAGGAAAGGGCATTTAGTTGGCTAAAATGGCTCACTGTTTTTGTCATTTTATCAATGACTAAATCATTATTCAAATCACAAAAATGTGACTTAATGATACTTTAGTCAAAATGACTAAGACTAGAATAAATCTAAAAAAGTGTGCCAAAATGAACACTGAAGCAGATCTGTCCTGGGGAGGGGCTGGGCGTGTGGGGGCTGAGGATGTTCCAGTAGTGGCTTTGGAAGTTGAGAGCAGAGAGAGCGAACCCGGCGAGGTGACCGTTTCTCTCCCTGTGTCTGTCACTATCCAGGGGTGGGGGCAGGCTCATGCAATTCCTCAGGGAACCATCACTGCAAAAAGAAAAACACACAAGGCCATTAGACTTTATTTATACTGTATGACAGACATACAAATCTACAAGTAGACTCCATCCATCCATAATATAACCTAGTAGTAATAATTCAATGTCTCTCACCTGGTTATGTCTGCTGGTGCTCCTCTCCAGACCTGTCTGTACATGCTACCAGCCACATCCCCAGCCACCCCAGCTAGCCAACTTATGTCTGCAGGCAGCTCTGGGATCCACTCCACAAACCTGGAGCACAGGAGAGGGACAACACAGAGAGTCATTGTGATGAGTCAAAAGAGATTAGTGCAAAATGGGTCAATGCAGATATTCCAGGTAGCTATTGGTTAACTATTTTAACTAACTATTTAGTAGTCTTATAGTTTAGGGGTAGAAGCTGTTCAGGGTGCTGTTGGTTCCAGACTTGGTGCATCGGTACCGCTTGCCATGCAGGTGCAGAGAGAATGGTCTATGACTTCGGTGGCTGGAGACCTTCCTCTGACACCGCCTGGTATAGAGGTCCTGGATGGCAGGGAGCTCGGCCCCAATGATGTACTGGGCCGTACGCACTACCCTTTGTACTTTATAAGGATCTGAGGGCCCAAGACAAATCTTTTCAGCCTTCTGAGGGGGAAGAGGCATTGTTGTGTCTTCTTCATGACTGTGTTGGTGTGATGTGGACCATGATAATTCCTTAGTGATCCTTAGCTCTTGACCTGCTCCACTACAGCCCTGTTGATGTCGATGGGGGCGTGCTCGGGGGCGTGCTCGGCCCTCCATTTCCTGTAGTCCACGATCAGCGTATTTGTCTTTTCGACGTTGAGGGAGAGGTTGTTGTCCTGGCACCACACTGCCAGATCTCTGACCTAATCCTTATAGGTTGTCTAATCGTCATCAGTGATCAGGCCTACCACCGTCGTATCGTCAGCAAACGACGGTGGTAGGCCTGCAAACGTAATGATGGTGTTGAAGTCGTGCGCTGCCAGTCGTGGATGAACAGAGAGTACAGGAGGGGACTAAGCATGCACGTGTTGTAGGCATTACAGACTGGGTCAGGGAGAGGTTGAAAATGACACTTGCCAGCTGGTCAGCACATGCTCTGAGTACGTGTCCTGTTAATCCGTCTGTCCTTGCGGCCTTGTGAAAGTTAACCTGTTTAAAGGTCTTACTCACATCGGCAACGGAGAGCGTGGTCACACATTAGTCCGGAACAGCTGGTACTCTCATGCATGGTTCAGTGTTGCTAGTCTCGAAGCGAGCATAGAAGGTATTTAGCTTGTCTGATAGGCTCGCGTCACTGGACAGCTTGCGGCTGGGTTTCCCTTTGTAATCCGTGATAGTTTGCAAGCCCTGCCACATCCAACGAGTGTCAGAGCCGGTGTAGTAGGATTCGATTTTGGTCCTGTATTGACACTTTGCCTGTTTGATGGTTTGTCGGAGGGCGTAGGGGGATTTCTTATAATCGTCCAGATTAGTGTCCTGCTCCTTGAAAGTGGCAGCTCTAGCCTTTAGATCAGTGCAGATGTTGCCTATTATCCATGGCTTCTGGTTGGGATATGGGGTACGTATGTACGTACGTACGGTCACTGTGGGGACGGCATTGTCGATACACTTATTAATGAAGCTGGTGACTGATGTGGTAAACTCCTCAATGCCATCGGATGAATCCCGGAACATATTCCAGTCTGTGCTAGCGAAACAGTCCTGTAGCTAGCATCCGCTTCGTCGGATGGATAGAGTTATGGTCAGATTTGGAGGATAGAGTTATGGTCAGATTTGCCAAATGGAGAAAAGGGAGAACTTTGTATGCATCTTTGTGTGTGGAGTAAAGGTGATCTAGAGTTTTTTGGCCTCTAGTTGCACAGTTGACATGCTGGTAGAAATGAGGTAAAACGTATTTCAGTTTTCCTGCATTAACGTCACCGGACACTAGGCGCCGCCTCTTAGTGAGCATTTTCATTCGTTTGCTTATGGCCCTATACAGCTCGTTGAGTGCAGTCTTAGTGCAAGCATCGGTAAATAGTATGGTCTACAGTTTATCATGAGGTATTCTAACTCTGGCGAGCAGAACCACGAGACTTTCTTAATATTAGAGATCGCGCACCAGCTGTTGTTAACAAAGAGACACAAATCCCCTCCCCTGAGCTTCTCCGACGCCACCGTTCTGTCCAGCTAAATTTATATTTACCATGTCCTTGTTTGGCCACAACTCTGAGAAATATAGGATATTACAGTTCTTCAGATCACGTTGATAGGATAGTCTCGAATGGAGCTCATTCAGTTTATTTTCCAGTGATAGCATGTTCGCCAATAGAACGGAGGGTAGAGGCGATTTATCCACTCTCCGACGTAGTCTCGTCAGGTATCCCGCATGCCGGCCTCTATAGCGCCGTATTGTCCTTCATCGAGTGTCGGGGATTTGGACCTGGTCCGGGATAATCAATATGTCTTTCGCCTCCGACTCATTGAAGTAGAAGTACTCGTCCAAATCGAGGTTAGTGATAGCAGTTCTGATGTCAAAAGCTATTTTCTGTCATAGGAAACAATGGCGGAAACATGATGTACCAAAAAAGTAGCGTTCAGTGCAACAAGTACACAAAATAGCACAATTGGTCAGGAGCCTGTAAAATGGCGGCTATTCCCTCCAGCACTATTCTTTACTAATCCAAACCTGTTTGCATTCCTAGTTCGTTTGCATTCACAGTGTTATTTGGTTGCTGTGGTGGGCTAATGACTACTTTGTTGTCAGTGGTTTCTGTCAGGGCTAGTTTGAAGGTATTGGCTACTGTATGCTAAAGGATAGTTATGCTTAAGGCTAGTTCAGGGCTTTTTAGAAGCTGATTTGTTTGCATTACTGTTGTCATCATTTACATTTGTTGCTGTTTGAGCTACTGTGGCCACATTGAGTTCATTGAGGGCTTCTTTGTGGTAGGTAGCACTAGTGGTGTAGGATGTAGTCTTACCTCTTGCCCACTGAGTAGGCTGACACCACAGGTAGTGTGCAGGGCAGGAGCATGTAGGAGGCCACTCTGACCGGCAGCATCTCGGACACCTTAGCATACAGACCAGGCTTCTGCTGGCACGCCTCACAGAACACTACAGTCATAGACACACAATATGTTACACTTCGCACAGCCTCAGAGGACTTTCAGATACACACAACAACCACACGTCACTGACAAGAGCACAGTGACAACACAATGTTATAATTAGATAACAACAGCTTCGAGCAGAAAATATTGGAAAGTCTAGGTCAGGGATGGGCAACTTTGATGGGGGTGGGGCCCACAAAAAATCTGAACTCATCATGATGGGCCGCAGTGTCTCGCAGGTCTGCATACACACGTCCACACCCACACATGCAGTCAGAGCCGGCCCTAGCCTTTTGGGGTGTGACATTTTGTTGGGGGGGCCCCACACCTTGCAAGCAAAACATTAAAGCAGCCCCCATCTTGAAAGTGGATAATTTTTTTTGCAGTTTAAAGGTTAATTTCCTGTAATTCTATACATTTTGCCATGGGGCGTAGAGAACATTTTGCCGTTTTTAATATGATATCTGAGAGACTAACAAAATCAATGGGGGTCCCCGATTGGTAATTCGATCATGATCACGATTACTGCAATTTTAGATAAATGGCTAAACTGGGGCGGCAGGTAGTTTAGTGGGTAAGAGCATTGTGCCAGTAACCGAAAGGTCGCTGGTTCTAATCCCCGAGCCGACTAGGTGAAAAATCTGTCGATGTGCCCTTAAGCAAGGCACTTAACCCTAATTGCTCCTGTAAGTCGCTCTGGATAAGAGCGTCTGCTAAATGACTAAAATGTACCAATCCCCCAAAACATTGCTGACATGGGCTAATTGAGTGATTGTCAGTAGTTAAGTTTCCATCAAATTTGCGACAGATTTGGTGTGAATATTCTAAAATCTGCATAAAACAATATGCGCATCAAACGGACTTTTTGCGGATAAAAGGCTGGTGGTGATGACAAAGGCTGGTGGTGATGACAAGTTCTCTGTCGTAGCCGGCTGCGACCGGGAGACCCATGGGGCGGCGCACAATTAGCTAGCGTCGTCCAGGGTAGGGGAGGGAATGGCCAGCAGGGATGTAGCTCAGTTGGTAGAGCATGGCGTTTGCAACGCCAGGGTTGTGGGTTCGATTCCCACGGGGGGCCAGTATGAAAATGTATGCACTCACTTAACTGTAAGTCGCTCTGGATAAGAGCGTCTGCTAAATGACTAAAATGTACATGTAAATTAAATGGGTTTACATCACATTTTCAACTCTACTGATGGTTTTGTTACATGAACTGTTGCGTTATATAGCCAATGTGCCCACTCTGGTCTTGGCACATGCGCTTCAGCCAACAGCTCACAGATACAGTGCGGGTAGGCTACCTACATTACAAGATTATTATTGATGAGCGATATTATTTGTATTTGTCAAACGACAGCCAAGCATCGATCATCCTGTCACCAGAATAAGACCCTTTATTGGAAAGGAGTATCAAGCTCATTCACCTTGCACATTCACCACGCTGTGAAGTTAATCATAATTTATTTCATCTGCAGCCTAATAAACTGCCTGCCTCCCGAGTCATAGTGGGAGGACCACACAACATACAGTATCATTGCGTGACTCCAAGTTTACTTCAATATGATGGTTAATATATACATATTTGCGCATTAAGACGTTTCCACCACCATTTCTCGCATAATTAATTTTACAGACACAAAAAGATCCCACCATGTCGGCATTTATAAAATTGTACCGGCATTTCATGTTTCCATCAGCCTTGTCGTGACTTTTTTTTTCACGTGTCAGGTAATTCATCCGCATGAAATGGTTGGATAGAAACCTGGTTAGTGACTGACATAAGAGAAAAACTGCTGATGCACAACCACATTTTGAAAATGCACCTTTTGTATTCTACTATACTAACTCTTGAGAGTAAGTCGAGACCCCGACTTGTGTGTGTATATATATATATATATATATATATATATATATATATATATATATATATATATATATATATATATACAGCTCTTAAGAGACCACTGCACATTTTTCTTAAATCAGCATCTCTACATGTATGACAGCCATTCCATTCCAGTGTCTGTTGAATTCCAACACAGGCACACCTCATTCTACTGAATTAGGTACTGATTAGGTGATTACCTGAAACAAATCTTATTTAACGAGGAAAAGTATAAAAACCACTGCTGTGGTCATCACTATCCTCTTGCAATAGGACCAGCTGGATGGCAAAAACAGTGCTAATAGTACCTCAAAAGTAATATTAATCAAAAAATAACTATTGACCATGCCAAAAGAGTTGAAAAGGAAAGTTTTGAGTGAGGAAAAGAAGGGTTCAATTCTGGCTTTACTAGCAGAGGGATACAGTGAGCGTCAGGTTGCTTCCATCCTTAACATTTCAAAGACGGTGGTTCATAAGAACAAGGTCAAGCAGCAGACATTGGGGACAACAAAGCTACAGACCGGCAGAGGCCGAAAACGACTCTTGTGTAGACCGGGATGACCGCCAACTCATTCGAATGTCACTCAACAGTCGTAGGATGACATCAAGTGACCTACAAAAAGAATGGCAAACGGCAGTTGGGGTGAAGTGCACGGCGAGGACGGTTCGAAACAGGCTCCTAGGGGCAGGGCTGAAGTCGTGCAAAGCTAGAAAAAAGCCCTTCATCAATGAGATAAGGATTGGACAGTAGAGGACTGGAGTAAGGTCATCTTCTCTGATGAGTCCAATTTTCAGCTTTGCCCAACACCTGGTCGTCTAATGGTTAGACGGAGACCTGGAGAGGCCTACATGCCACAGTGTCTCGCACCCACTGTGAAATTTGGTGGAGGATCGGTGATGATCTGGGGGTGCTTCAGCAAGACTGGAATCGGGCAGATTTGTCTATGTGAAGGATGCATGAATCAAGCCACGTACAAGGTTGTCCTGGAAGAAAACTTGCTTCCTTTTGCTCTGAAATTGTTCCCCAACTCTGAGGATTGGTTTTTCCAGCAGGACAATGTGCCATGCCACACAGCCAGGTCAATCAAGGTGTGGATGGAGGACCACCAGATCAAGACCCTGTCATGGCCAGCCCAATCTCCAGACCTGAACCCCATTGAACATTTCTGGAATGTGATCAAGAGGAAGCTGGATGGTCACAAGCCATCAAACAAAGTCACCCAACATCAATGTGAAAGGCTGGTGGAGAGCATGCCAAGACGCATGAAAGCTGTGATTGAAATCAGGGTTATTCCACCAAATATTGATTTCTGAACTCTTCCTAAGTTAAAACATTTAGTATTGTGTTGTTTAAAAATGAACATGAACTTATTTTCTTTGCATTATTCGAGGTCTGACAACACCGCATATTTTTTGTTATTTTGACCAGTGTCATTTTCTGCAAAATAAATGCTCTAGTTGACAATATTTTTATTTGGAATTTGGGAGAAATGTTGTCAGTAGTTATGATACAAAATGTAATTTCTCACCCAAAACATACTATAAATAGTAAAACCAGAGAAGTATATTTTGCAGTGGAACGGACATCAAACAATACATATAATATATAAATATATAAATAAATAAATAACACATATCCCCACACCCACACACACACACCCCCACACCCACACACACACACACAACACACACACACACACAGAGTACCAGTCAAAGTTTGGACACACTACTCATCAAGGTTTTCTATATTTTTAACTTTTCTACATTGTGAATATAGTACGACTTAAAACTTGAAATCAACATATATCATATAACAGTGTTTAAAAAATCAAAATATTTTTGATATTCTTCAAAGTAGCCACCCTTTGCCTTGATGACAGCTTTGCACACCACTCTTGGCATTCTCTCAACCAGCTTCATGAGGAATGCTTTTTCAACAGTCTTGAAGGAGTTCCCACATATGCTGAGCACTTGTTGGCTGCTTTTCCTTCACTCTGCTGGTCCAACTCATCCCAAACCATCTCAATTGGGTTGAGATCAGGTGATTGTGGAGGCCAGGTCATCTGATGCAGCACTCCATCACTCTCATTGGTCAAATAGCCCTTACACAGCCTGGAGGTGTGTTTTGGGTCATTGTCCTGTTGAAAAACAAATGATAGTCCCAATAAGTGCAAACCAGATTGGGATGGTGTATTGTTGCAGAATGCTGTGGTAGCCATGTTGGTTAAGTGTGCCTTGAATTCGAAATAAATCACTGACAGTGTCACCAGCATAGCACCTCCAGACCATCACACCTCCTCCTCCATGCTTCATGGTGGGAACCACACATGCAGAGATCAACAGTTCACCTACTCTGCGTCTCACAAAGACACAGCGGTTGGAACCAAAAATCTCACATTTGGACTCATCAGACCAAAGAACAAATTTCCACCGGTCTAATGTCCATTGCTCGTGTTTCTTGGCCCAAGAAAGTCTCTTCTTCTTATTAGTGTCCTTTAGTAGTGGTTTCTTTGCAGCAATTCGACCATGAAGGCCTGATTCACAGTCTCCTCTGAACAGTTGATGTTGAGATGTGAAATTCCACAAATTAACTTTTTTAACAAGGCACACCTGTTAATTGAAATGCATTCCAGGTGACTACCTCATGAAGCTGGTTGAGAGAATGCCAAGACTGTGCAAAGCTGTCTTTTTATTTGTATTTTATTTTTTTGTCATTTAGCAGACGCTCTTATCCAGAGCGACTTACAGTTAGTGATTGCATACATTTTCATACTGGCCCCCCATGGGAAACGAACCCACAACCCTAGCGTTGCAAGCGCCATGCTCTACCAACTGACTGTCATCAATGCAAAGGGTGGCTACTTTGAAGAATCTCAAATATAAAATATAGTTTGATTTGTTTAACACTTTTCTTTGGTTACTACATGTGTTTGATGTCTTCACTATTATTCTACAATGTAGAAAACAGTAAAAAATAAAGAAAAACCCTTGAATGAGTAGGTGTGTCCAAACTTTTGACTGGTACTGTATATACACAAAAAAAATAGGAAATTGATTCGCAGGCCTACAAAAGGGGCGCGGGACACCAGTTGCCCATCCCTGGTCTAGGTTGACCTCCTATCTACCTTTCTTGATTTCGGTAGGCAGGTTGTCAACAGTCTGCTCATCCAACCACCAGTGTTGCTTTCTCAGGAGGCTGACTCGCCAGAACATCCAGTTCTTAGTGGTTTCCATGGCGATGGGTTTGCAGCAGCAGGTGGCTTCTGATGGGTTGGGGCCGGCTGTCGGACACTCCAGCTTCAGCAGATCTGACATCATAAACAATACATTAATATTCTTTGTAATACAGCATAGACGGGTTGGTTGTTTAGCAACAAAACCGACGCGTGGCAACTATGGGGCAAAACAGACAGGGTTGGCTTAGATTGTTGACAACATGTAAACTATATTTTGTCTCAATGTTTATTGAAACCATAAATACATTTGTACAATGAGCATTTGTTGTCTCTCAAATACATTGTTATAGTTGTTGGTTAGCTAGCTAGCCATATTTGCATTGACATGAAATCAGTCAAAACACCTCAAAACAAGACATGGTATCAAGATAAAACGAGCTGAAACGAGCCACCTACGATTCGCTCAGAATCATAATAAAGCACGGCTTCCCACACCATGGATGTGCGTGCATTTTCGTGATGTTGTCAGCCAACCCGTCTATACAAATATTACACCATAAATAAGTGTTGGTTTACCATAATGTAAATGGAAATAAGTACTGGTTTATTCCATACTTCCTGTTGAACCCTATACAATTGACATTATTGATGCTCACTGCATTTATGTCACAGTAGCTTATGATCTTAGCACAGCCCACTATTACTGTCAAAGGCAACATAGTAATACTCACGGTTCTCCTCAAGAAAGCGAAGGGCGTCCTTGTAGCCACTCTCACATATCTCTGCCATGACCTGTCAAAGAAAACACTTAGATATTGAGGTAGGGGATCATATGAAAGAGGTATATTGAATAAATATACTGCTCCTATATAAGAGAGACGATACCCATAAGACAGAGACTTTGTTAATCATATAAAAACAGATATATAACCATACAAGATACAGGTCATGATCCCATTCATCATGTCATTTGTTATAACTGTCACTATATCATTGACTGATTAGCAATCATGTTATTGCTGATAATTAACTATGACATAAGCAGTTGTTTTTAACCACATAAAACGGAGGGAAATTCTGGCCTCCCGAGTGGCGCAGTGGTCTAAGACACTGCATCGCAGTGCTAGAGGCGTCACTACAGTTCGTTCCCATGAGGTGGCACACAATTGGCCTAGCGTCGTCCAGGTTAGGGAGGGTTTGGCTGGCCGGGATATCCTTGTCCCATCGCGCTCTAGCGACTCCTTGTGGCGGGCTGGGCGCATGCACGCTGACTTCGGTCGCCAGGTCTACGGTGTTTCCTCCGAACACATTGGTGCGGCTGGCTTCTGGGTTAAGCGAGCAGTGTGTCAAGAAGCAGTGCGGCTTGGCAGGGTCGTGCTTCGGAGGACGCATGGCTCTCGACCTTTGCCTCTCCTGAGTCCGTACGGGAGTTGCAGCAATGGCACAAGACTGTAACTACGGGGTAAAAACTGTTGACCCATTGGGGCGGGTCAACACTACTCTTCCCCAAGTATAGTTCTCAAATAAAGAGTTCCCATCACATCCAGGCCCACGGGCCGAGGGTGATGGTTCAGAATGTTCCCATGCAAAACAATCAACCTCTCAAGGGCGTCCTTGTCCAGCCACCAGGCCTGGCAGGGCCCACGTCCCTTCCACGGGACAGGTTGCCACATGCAGAGTTGCCCCAGTGGGGTGACTGCCACAGGGCTCCCCGGACCCCCAGTGGACAGGTGGGTTCCCTTGCTCCTCACAGAGAGCAATGGCATGCATGTGCAGTCTCCCCTTGGGTCCTACGCACCGTAGACCAGGGGTACAGACTACAATTCGCAGGGGTCCCCCCGCGTTTCATGGGAATAGTGAAGTCCACTGCACAGGAGGAAGCATCCCGAGTCCTCAGAGACGAGATACAGTCTCTGTTGGCCAAGGGAGCCGTATGCGTGGTGCTGAGGGAGGAAGCTCACCAGGGCTTATTCAGACGTTATTTCTTGGTCCCCCCCAAAAAAGGAGATCCTGGATTTACAGCACCTCAACAAGCATCTGAAAGTCTACAAATTTTGAATGATAACGTATCGCGAGTGGTTCACCACAGTAGACCTCAAGGATGCTTGTCCTGCACACAGGAGATTTCTAAGTTTCGCCTTCGATCGGCCCTTCGAGGGCATAGCCTACGAATATCTCACCTTACCATTCGGTCTGTCCCTTGCCCCACGGACATTCACGAAGTGTGTCGAAGCCGCCCTAGCCCCCCTACGGGAGAGCGGCTTAAGAGTCCTGACGTACCATCGACGACTGATTGATCTGACTGGTTGATCTACGCGGACACTTGGGCTCGGGCAGCGGAGCACACAGCCCGCTGTTGTATACCTGCTCGCTCTAGACTTCAGGATAAATCGTGCCAAAAGCTCGCTCTTACCAACCCAGCAGAAAGTATTTTTGGGATTGTCTCTGGACTCTGTAGCCTGTTGAGCAGCCCTCACCATGGAGACAAGAGACATCTTTTCGCCACTGCCTCTCAGTGTTTTGCCCAGCAACATCAGTCACGTAATGGATGTGTCTGAGGCTTCTTGGGCTCATGGCCTCCATGATTGTGGCAGTTCTGCTTGGTCTCCTCCTCATGAGAGACTTCCAGCATTGGGTGACCTCACTCCACTCCGCTTGGACCCGTCTCTCCACCAGCACAGGCACGTGCTTCTCTCTGCAAAGTGTCTATCGGCACTTCAATGCTGGAAAGACCCATCCCTCTTGACGCAGGGCTGCCCTACTGGGAGAGTCGTCATGCGCAAAGTAGTGACAACGGATGCATCACTACAGGGATGGGGGCAGTCCACGAAGGGCATATGGTGAACGGCGTATGGTCAGACTCTATGAGTACAGCCCATATCAACGTTTTCGTACAGAAAATGGTCTATCCCTCATTGTGATAGCTCCGCATTACCCGGGAAGCCATGGCTGGTGGAGATTGTACCTCTCCTGTACGCGCAACCATGGCGCCTCCCACAGCGCAGGGATCTGCTATCCCAAGAGCAGAGTGAAATATTCCACCCTCATCCTGAGCTGATGGATCTCTGGGCTGGCCCGTGAGAGGTCCAACTTAGCCTTGGCGGGCTTGCCTCCGAACGTGGTTGCCACAATTTAGAGCGCCACAGCCCCTTCTACAAGAGATCTTTACGACCTGAAGTGGAGGGTATTCGAGAGGTTGGGTTAGAGACGAGAGTTGGTCTCCTTTCAGTGTTCCATCCCTGCCGTTCTCTCCTTCCTACAGGAATTGTTTGACAAGGGCAAGGCATTTTCCACCATTCAGATCTACTTGGCGGCGATCTCAGCCTGTCATTTAGGACTAGGTGAGATGACGATCGGGGCTCACTCCCTGGTTCATTGTTTTATGAAGGGAGCGCGCTGTCTCCATCTGGTCTCCAAGCCACTTGCATTGTTCTGGATGCACTTACAGGCAATCACTCTGAACCCCTGGAGACAGTGGATCTTAAGACTCTCTTATGAGACGGCCCTGTTGCTCGCCACGGCCAAGCGCGTTAGCGACCTTCATGCGCTCCCGGTTCATCCTTTATGCACTCAATTTGCCCCTAACTACTCCAAGGTTAGGAATGAACGCCGCGTTCATTCCTAAGGTCATTTCCATGAGTCAAGCCACTGACCTCTTCCCCTTCCACCGTCCACCGTTCTCTTCTCCAGAGCAGCGGTGCCTTAACATGTTGTGTCCGGTGCACGCACTGCACATCTACATAGACAGGACTAGGTCATTCCGGAGTTGTGACCAACTGTTTGTTTGCTTCACCAACCCTGCTCGGGGTAGGGCTTTGCCCAAACAACACCTCTCCCATTGGGTAGTGGAGGCTATCACCAAGGTGTGCAGTTGTCTCCCCTGGGTGTCCGGGCACATTCCACTAGAGGAATTGCCACATCATGGGCACTGTTCAGAGGCATCTCCGTCTTGGAGATTTGTGCAGCGGCTAGTTGGGCTTCCCCTCACACCTTTGTGAGGTTCTATCGCCTGGACGTTACTGCACCCTCCCTGGCACACAGTCCTTGGTGCTGGAGCTGAGTAGGATGGATCAGGTACATTACCATGTACCACAACAGGCTTCTCAGGAAACAGACTATTGGCAATCGGGCGTTTTGCAAGTGTCCCATAGTGAGATGTCGAACCGAGTCGACTGAAAGAAAACTTTGGGTTACGGTATGTAACCCCAGTTCTCTGTAGGAGATGAGGGAGACATCTCACCAGATTGCCCCTCTTGCACGACTCGTGTAAGAGGTAGTTCTTAGAATGAGGAAACCAGAGCAGTGCAGGGTGTTATATAGACGCGTGGGGCGTACACCAACAAAGCTCTGATTGGCCTGTTAGGCGTTATTTGAATAAGGTTTCAACCAATGACCCGCAGAAGAGGGTGTGTCCCATAGTGAGATGTCTCCCTCATCTCCTTCAGAGAACCGGGGTTACATACCGTAACCCAAACATTTCATAACACATTCATAACCATACATAAGGCATTTACAAGTAGTCATAAACAACCCATCTAATGAATGGGACTAAGGAGCATCCTGATCCTCCATCCTACCTTTGGCAACAGGGCCTACATAACACATTCATAACCCATAAATAACACATTGGTAAGCAGTCATAGCGGGAGTCCTACGCTCTTTGAAAAAAGGATTGCAAAGGGTTTTCCGGCTTCCCCATATGAGAACCCTTTTTGGTTCCAGCTCTCTGTGGAAATGCTTCTACATGGAACCCAAAAGGGTTCTACTTGGAACCAAAAATGGATCTTCAAAGAGTCCTATGGTGACAGCCGAAGAACCATTTAAGGTTCTAGATAGAAAAAAAGGTGCTAAGTGTGTACCTTGAGTTCTGGGGGGAACAGGGCCTTGCTGAGGCGGTACATGTTGCCCAGGTTCAACCGGATGGAGGTGTTGTTGAGACGAAGCTCGTGGAAGTTGAAGGAGGTGTCCCGGGGACAGATGTCGCTTTCGCCAGAGAACGGCGAGATGCTGATGGTGTTCTTCAGCACTGACTGTGGAAGGTTGTCACTGATCCCCCCATCCACATAACGCTGGAGAGAGAAGGGGGGGGAGAGAGGGAGGAGGGGGAGAGAAAGTGAGAATACTTGGGTGTTTTTGGACCCATGCTCAATTATAAACAAGGCTGTTTGACTATTTACTTACATCAGGACCACAGCCTCTCCACAGAGCAAGACCCCAGACATACTGTGGTCAATATGTCTCAGGGCTGACAGAGATGACTGTTCTACATCGCTTATAAAGGCTATCAACTTAGAGAAGATTTGTCTGGCATTCACTCTAAGGGGCAAGACACATCAATACAGCTGTTACAGAATCCCCCTGCCAAGGGCGCTATATCACTGTTTTGTGTGAGCATTTGTTTATTTGCTTTCTGGAGCCACGCTGTCTCTCTCACCCATCCTCACCCTTTCACCCCCCGACCAGAGAGATGATATCTCCTCCAGTTTATGGCTTCAGCCAATCAGACAATAGCCATGTGTCTCAACCCTGTGCAAGCTCTAGCCATGCAGTCTCTCCAGGCCCTGATTGGCTAGCCAGCCTGACCCCATGCTCTCCAAGGGAGTAAATATTGCCGTACCTAAACTGTGTTATTCCAGTCTGTGAGTGTGGGTGAACATATGTGCATACGATTCGTGACTACAAAGTAAGTTGATGTCGCTGTTATCATTGTAGTATGTGCTAGAGTAGTAGTATTCCATGTAGTTCTCATTCAAGTTATTATGTTACTTCTGATATTGTATGCAATGATGAGTCCTTGCTCTTGTGTGTTGCTGTGCAATAGCATACTATTTGTATAATATACAATCCTTGCCATTATTCTTACTGTGTCATCACCATGCTAGTCATTAATCTGGTGTTACTATATAATACATGCTTATTAGGTCATTATTAGACACAGTCCTTGTTGTTTTATCCCATATCCCATTCTATCGTACTCTGAAAATATATATTCAGGCCAGTGTATTTATCTCCTGTATAGCATATGTATTACCTCTCTATTTCTGTCCATTACAGAACCATACCCATGTACATCTTCTCCTGTGTGTGATTTAAAGTTCCTGTGTGTGTTAACGCTTGGGCTGCTTTATTCCCCTCTAACCGGGGGGCGGTGTCAGTGAGTCACAAACCAGTAAAATATGTAGAGCCGGGTCGCTCTCTTTCAACAGCCCCGTGCCTGAGACAGAAATAGATATAGCACATAGGTCTTTAAAGCACTGACAGAGACCCCTAGGTATTTTGAGGAGAAAGTAAGTAAATAATAGTATTTGGAAAATATATTATAAATATTTGTTGTTGACTGCCTCCAACTATCTTCTGCTAAAAAACATGTCATTTATAACCTAACTCTGTTATCACTGAAATCTAATATGATACGACATATTCAAGGAAATTCCCCTCTTGAGGGCATATTAGGCATGTCAGTACAATATTTCCCCATTAGCCAGCCTCTCCACACTGCTAACTCATGACCAAACAATCTGACATTACTATTTGGAGAATTAATCAATTTTTATGCCAGTCTTATATACAGTGCTATGAAAAAGTATTTGCCCCCTTTCTAATTTTCTCTACTTTTGCATATTTGTGATACTGAATGTTATCAGATCTTCAACCAAAACCAAATATTAGATAATGTCACGGTTTCGGCCGAGGCTGCCTCTCTCCCTTGTTCGGGCAGGCTTCGGCGTTCGTTGTCTCCGGAATACTAGCTGCCACCGTTGTATGTTTCATGTTCGTTTGCTTTTGTCTGATTGTTGTCACACCTGTTATCATTTAGTGTCATTAGTGTCCTATTTAGTTCTCGTTGTGTTTGTCAGGTGTTGTGTGTTATTGATTTTGGTCTGTCGTGTGTTGGGCTTATTTTCGCCCTTTCGCTCGGTTGAGCTTTCCTCCACTGCGTTGGAGCGTTACGCACCTGTTAGTGCGCTTGTTGCTATTTCGCCTTCGTGCGTATTTTTGCCTTCGGGCAAGTGTTGTTATTTTTCCTGTTTGGAGATTAACTAAAGTTGTTTGAACTATCCTTCGGTGTTCTGCGTTTGATTCCACCATTGGTGTGTTATTCTGTCACGCGTGCTGTAGGTGGGTGGAGTGGTGGAATCAAACGCAGAACACCGAAGGATAGTCCAAACAACTTTAGTTAATCTCCAAACAGGAAAAATAACAACACTTGCCCGAAGGCAAAAATACGCACGAAGGCGAAATAGCAACAAGCGCACTAACAGGTGCGTAACGCTCCAACGCAGTGGAGGAAAGCTCAACCGAGCGAAAGGGCGAAAATAAGCCCAACACACGACAGACCAAAATCAATAACACACAACACCTGACAAACACAACGAGAACTAAATAGGACACTAATGACACTAAATGATAACAGGTGTGACAACAATCAGACAAAAGCAAACGAACATGAAACATACAACGGTGGCAGCTAGTATTCCGGAGACAACGAACGCCGAAGCCTGCCCGAACAAGGGAGAGAGGCAGCCTCGGCCGAAACCGTGACAGATAAAGGGAACATAAGTGAACAAATAACACAACAATTACATATTTATTTCATAAACAAAGTTATGCAACACCCAATTCCCCTGTGTGAAAAAGTAATTGCCCCCTTACACTCAATAACTGGTTGTGCCACCTTTAGCTGCAATGACTCCAACCAAATGCTTCCTGTAGTTGTTGATCAGTCTCTCACGTCGCTGTGGAGGAATTTTGGCCCACTCTTCCATGCAGAACTGCTTTAACTCAGTGACGTGTGGTTTTTCAAGCATGAACTGCTTGTTTCAAGTCCTGCCACAACATCTCAATTGGGATTAGGTCTGGACTTTGACTAGGCCATTCCAAAACTTCCAATTTGTTGCTTTTTAGCAATTTTCATGTAGACTTGATTGTGTGTTTTGGATCATTGTCTTGCTGCTTGACCCAGCTGCGCTTCAGCTTCAGCTCACAGACGGATGGTCTGACATTCTCCTGTAGAATTCTCTGATACAGAGCAGAATTCATGGTTCCTTCTATTAAGGCAAGTCATCCAGGTCCTGAGGCAGCAAAGCATCCCCAAACCCTCACACCACCACCACCACCATGCTTGACCTTTGGTATGATGTTCTTACTGTGCAGTGTTTGGTTTTCGCCAGGCATAATGGGACCCATCTCGTCCAAAAGGTTGACTCAAGTTTGCCAAAAAGCACCTGGATGATCATCAAGACTCTTGGAAGTATGTTCTATGGACAGATGATTCAAAAGTATAACTTTTTGGACGACATGGTTCCAGTAATGCCAGTTCATGCTTGAAAACCCACACGTCACTGAGTTAAAGCAGATTTGCATGGAAGAGTGGGCCAAAATTCCTCCACAGCGACGTGAGAGACTGATCAACAACTACAGGAAGCATTTGGTTGGAGTCATTGCAGCTAAAGGTGGCACAGTTATTGAGTGTAAGGGGGCAATTACTTTTTCACACAGGGGAATTGGGTGTTGCATAACTTTGTTTATGAAATAAATGAAATAAATATGTAATTGTTGTGTTATTTGTTCACTTATGTTCCCTTTATTTAATATTAGGTTTTGGTTGAAGATCTGATAACATTCAGTATCACAAATATGCAAAAGTAGAGAAAATTAGAAAGGGGGCAAATACTTTTTCATAGCATTGTAATTACACGATGTAGCTCCATTTCAAGTTCAGATTTGTGAATTAATTAATATTTTTCCAGTGTAAAACGCTTAGAACATCTGAGGGAAAAAGGATAGCAGTGCCAGTTCCAAAGCCAGATCAAGACTCAATTTGGCAGTGAGGTTGGCAAAGAGAGTTCAGGGCTGAGGGCAAAGATTGTAGTATATTTCCTTGTTCAGAGTGTCATAGCCAACTGTTACGTGAATGTAGTCCAGTGACGAAATCTAGTTTAAATGAAACCGCATCACTTTCACAAGAAACTTAAATAAATCATATGTACAGTATTCTGAAAAAGTACATGCTCAGTCAACTGGCAGAAAGTTAAACTTCATGCAATCAGATATGCTGTAAGTCAATTATGACTGTTCTATATATTTGTCATAATAGGCCTAGTATAGGGCATACATCTATATAGAGAGATATGGCATAACATGCTGTCTAGACCGGGCGTTCGCAAATTGATTTTGTACATCAACACCAGACGCGATCCGGACACGCAGGTTGAAATATCAAAACAAACTCTAAACCAAACATATTAATTTGGGGACAGGTCAAAACGCATGAAATGTTAATGGACATTTAGCTACAAACATTGGGTTGTTATTTTACCTGAAATGCACATAGGTCCTTTTTTCTAGAACTTTGACCCATTTTGAGTCACACAAAATCGTGTGTTCTCTACTCCCACAATTAATCCACAGATAAAAGGGAAAATCTAGTTCATTTCTAGTAATCTCTCCTCCTTCAGTCTTCTTCTACTGTGGACTTTACACAGCGGTTGGCAACCAACCTGGCTACGCAGACGCTTGCGAGCAGTTTAGATTAAATGATTGAATAACATGCATGTGTACATTTATTTTGCAACGCATGCAACGCGGGTGGTGTGGTCAGCATGTAAGACAGGTCTGTGTGTTAATGTGTTGAGTCACAATGTAGACTTGGCTCTGAGTCAGTTCTTCCCCCGAGCCAGAATGGTACGAGAGAAAGAGAGAGAGATAAAGAGAGAGAGAGAGAGAGAGAGATAAAGAGAGAGAGAGAGAGAGAGAGAGAGAGAATACCTAAATCGGTCAGTGTTATATGGTAGTTTATGTTTTGGAGGACTGTGCTCCTATGTCCTAGTGACTCAGTTTAGAATGGAGCCACCCTGGACTCCCTGGTCCCAATCTGCTGAAGCCAGAAGCCAGTCTGGAAGTACACTATATATACAAAAGTATGTGGACACCCCTTTAAAATTAGTGGATTTGGTTATTTCAGCCACACCTGATGCTGACAAGTGTATAAAATCGAGCACACAGCCATGCAATCTCCATAGACAAACATTGGCAGTAGAATGGCCTTACTGAAGAGCTCAGTGACTTTCAATGTGGCACCATCATATGACGCCACCTTCCCAACAAGTCAGTTCGTCACATTTCTGCCCTGCTAGAGCTGCCCCGGTCAACTGTAAGTGCTGTTATTGTGAAGTGGAAACGTCTAGGAGCAACAACTGCTCAGCCGTGAAGTGGTAGGCCACACAAGCTCACAGAACGGGACCGCTGAAGTGCGTAGTGCGTAAAAATTGTCTGTCCTCGGTTGCAACACTCACTACCGAGTTCCAAACTGCCTCTGGAAGCAACGTCAGCACAAGAACTGTTCGTCCATGGCCGAGCATCCGCACACAAGCCTAAGATCACCATGTGCAATGCCAAGCGTCGGCTGGAGTGGTGTAAAGCTCACCACCTTTGGACTCTGGAGCAGTGGAAACCCGTTCTCTGGAGTGATGAATCACGCTTCACCACCCGGCAGTCCAACGGATGAATCTGGGTTTGGCAGATGCTACCTGCCCCAATGCATAGTGCCATCTGTAAAGTTTGATGGAGGAGGAATAATGGTATGAGGCTGTTTTTCATGGTTTGGGCTAGGCCCCTTAGTTCCAGTGAAGGGAAAGCTAAATGCTACAGCATTCAATGACATTATAGACGATTCTGTGCTTCCAACTTTTAGGCAACAGTTTGGGGAAGGCCCTTTCCTGTTTCAGCATGACAATGCCCCCGTGCACAAAGCGAGGTCTATACAGAAATGGTTTGTCGAGATCGGTGTAGAAGAACTTGACTGGCCTGCACAGAGCCCTGACCTCAACCCCATCGAACACCTTTGGGATTAATTGGAACGCCGACTGCGAGCCAGGCCTAATCGCCCAACATCAGTGCCCAACCTCACTAATGCTCTTGTGGCTGAATGGAAGCAAGTCCCCTCAGCAATGTTCCAACATCTAGTAGAAAGCCTTCCCAGAAGAGTGGAGGCAGTTATAGCAGCAAAGGGGGGGTCAACTCCAAATTAAAGCCCATGATTTTGGAATGAGATGTTCGAACAGCAGGTGTCCACATACTTTTGGTCATGTAGTGTATATAATACACCACTGACCTGCCAAGGGAAATGGTCCTTGGGCTGATTAGCTACTAGGGTAGGGTAGACTGACAAATGGACAAGTACCAGAGTGTATGCACAGACCCGACAGACAGACATGCAAACAGAAAAATCCAAACATTGTGTAACACTTGAACCTATAGCCTCCTTATGACTATGACCTGAGCAATAAAGGCATCTTAAAGATGAGACCATAATAAACCAAGTCCAACATCTGCTGCTTCTTCTTAGAAAATAAGGAAACAGTGTTCAAGGAAACGTACCACTCCTTGGAAGGATGGGGGGATCAGGCCACAGTATATGGGGATGAAACAGCTACACAGTATTGCCTGTGGACACACCAGAGAAAGAGATGTTACACAGTTCAACCCAGTTTACACTAAATACAACTTATGTAAAAAGTCAATGGCAAGGCCAGTAGGTGAAAGGACAAATATGTATGGGATAAATATGGGATATGGAAAAACTCTCAAGCAGTGGCGGCTGGCCAATAGAGGGCGCTAGGGCGCCGCCCCCTTAAATAAAATTATTTTAAAAAATAAAATAAAAAATAAATAAAAATAATGATAATAATAATAAAAACATCAGTATGTCAATATTTGTGTGTTTGAAATATGGAATGCACACAGTAATATGTGTAAGATATGATAGAAAATCATATTTGCAACCTTTCCTCTGCCTGTCAAACGCCTCATCAGCTCTGGGCGATACAGAAAGTGCCCCGAGGAGGCGGGTCTACGTAGCAGTTAAGCCAATTGCTAATTTAAGATATGAATATATGACATAAAATGTAGCTAATCAGCGATTTTAATTCGAATCCAAGGAGGGCGATTATTTTATCGCCCCAAGCTCGCCCCTGATAAAATAAGGACCGGGCTCCAGTGGCGCCATTTTTACTAGACGACAATGGTGAGCGCAAACGTTACTCCTCCAAGACCCAACCCTAACTCGGTGAAATCTCTCCTCCAAGATCCGTTTGAGAGGAGAACTTTGTCAGAGAAAGTTCGGGTGAAAGAGCTGGGCCCAGATCAACCTGACCTCTCAATCAGACAGCAGGCTAGCGAGAAAGGGAAGCAGTATATGCGCGGCTTCTCCCGTAGCTGGTACACCAGGAAGGCTTGGCTAGCTGGGTGCACTGATGCTAATGCTTTATTTTGCTTTCCGTGCTTGCTTTTTAAAACGACGGGCCGGACGGGGTCAGATTCAGCATGGACAGGTACCGGAGTGAGGGATATGAAGCACCTGTCAGAGAAGGTAAAGAAACATGAGAACACCAGGGCACACATGGACAACTCTGTAAAGCTAGCTGTATTAGGAAGGGTGAACATTGCTACGCAGCTGGATGACGGCCACAGGATTGCGGTGAGGAAACACAATGAGGAGGTGGATAAAAACAGGCACATTCTATCCAAAATTATCGATTGTGTGAAGTTCTGTGGGGCTTTTGAGTTGGCCTTGCGTGGGCACGAGGAGACTGACTCCTCGGACAACCCCGGCATTTTCCGGGGCTTAGTGGATTTTGTTGCCTCCCTCGACAGTGTGCTGGAGGAGCACCTGAAGACAGCTACCGTTTTTAAGGGCACGTCAAAGACGATACAGAACGAGCTGTTGGAATGTATGCTGTCAGTGCTTAAGGATTACATCCTGGAGGAAGTAAAGAGTGCTGATTTTATCGCCATTCAAGCTGACGAGACGACTGACGTTTCCACCCACTAACGTGTTTCCAGACCATCAGAGACTCTGGGAACTTTGATGCCCCGACTGTCAGAGAGGCGGGGGGCTTTGTGAGGATGCTCGAAGACGAGGCTTTCTGTTTTTTCCTGGCACTGTTCCACAAGATCATGCCAAATGTGGACATGCTTTTCAGCCAGCTGCAGAAGAGGAACATCGACCCTGTCTTCATTAAAGCACTTGTCCAGAGGTTCACAGACAGCATGCTAACAATCAGGTAAATAACTATATTTACTATTGGCTGATAAAGATGTTGTTAGAAAGATGAATAGTTCACTTACAACAGTTTAAAAGCCTAAATGTGTCTGGTCATCAAAGTGAGTGATTATCATAGAGCCGTCACAATTATATTTGTTTTAGTATTTTAAAAGGAAAGAGAAGACACAATCAGACGTTGATAATAATGCAGGAAAGTACTACACAGTTTGTAATAATTATTCAGGTGTCCACCAGGTCAATTTCTAGAAGAGGCCTAGTTGTTATTGAAGATTAACTTTATTGCTAAGTGCACAGCAGAACAAAATGATATGTGTGTATATACACACACTATCTGTCTGTCTGTCTGTCTGTCTGTCTATATATATATATAAAATTCCTGTACAAATAAGATGACAGACACACACACACAGAGCAGCTCTGGCCGCATGTTTCTTTGTATATAGTTGACCTTAGCATAAAAAAATCCAGTTATATATGGTACTCTAGAAAGTCTTAATAGTGTCTTTGCTAATATTACTGTATATATGTTGTTTTGTATCAATTAATTGTTGCAGTTCTGGAGCACATTAACAATTAGTCACATTTAGTATGATCATAAAATACTGTATGCTATTCTTCCAGTCAAAGGTTTGAGTTCATCCACTTGATATCCATTTCTATATTATACATCCTTTTATACAGTGTAAGATTTCCTATAAACTTTATAATAATTTCATGTTATTGTCCACTTTCCACTCTGTTCTGACAGCATGCCTGTTGCGTTGCCTGTTTACTACCAATGGTGAAAAGTTCACTTTAAATGCAAATGAAAGGCTTGGGTTTGTGTAATATGTTTTTGTGTAAGAATGCCTCAACTTTTTAATATTGGCATTAAATAATTACTGAATGTTTCACTGAGCACTGCTTTCCTGCAGTTTGTGTTAAAATATATCGCGATGGTTACAGGAAAAAAAAAGTATGGCACAGCCCCACCGAGAATATTTTTCACCAGCCGCCACTGCTCTCAAGTGCTCAGGGGTGTTCAGGGCCCATATTCACAACGCGTTTCATAGTAGGAGTGCTGATCTACAATCAGGTCCCACCTCTTATCCATTATGATTTAAAAAGGCCAAACTGATCCTAGATCAGTGCTCCTATGTTTTGTGAATAGCAGCCCAGGTGGGTTGAGCGAGGCACACTCACCTGGATGAGCTCCTCCTTGGACTTGAACTCGGACACGATGACGTTTTGTCCATCAGACACGCGAGTGAGTGACACACACAGCCTCCCGGAGGCGAGTGTGTGTGCATCGGCGGGCAGGTCGCGCTCCAGGCCCGACCTGATGCTCTTGAGCGGGTTGAATGAGGGGTGGAGGGGACCCAGGTTACGCTTCCGAGCCTCCTTGACCGTCTCGATCACATCCTCACAGCACCTAGCTAGAGGAGGGGAGGGATGGCGAGACAGTGTGTTAGGGCCTTCCATTGGGAGGAATTGGATAATTGTTTTGTTCAAAGGAAAATTGATTCTCAAGGGAATTAAACAGTGATCCGTAGCTCACAAAAACAATTTCTCCACTGATTTCACTTATTTACTGCTCTGCACCTGTACTGAGCTAGTTATGTGTGTTCATCTTATCTACACTTTGATGGAATGGATCTAATGACTGGTATGTACACAGAGTTCCTATAAAGAAAATCTATTGGTGATAAGAAAATACTGAGGTAGTGTAATAGTTAATCAAATGGCTACCCGGACTATTTTAGTGATCCCCTTTTTTTTGCACTGACTCTCTTGCACTGGCTCTATGCACACTCACTGGACTCACCCACACACACTCACACATACTACAGCGACACACACAAACACACACACACAAACGCTCACACACACACATAGACACACTTTCCCACGCTGCTGCTACTCTGTTTATTATCTGTTTATTATCTATCCTGATTGCCTAGTCACTTTTACCCCTACCTACATGTACATATTACCTCAATCACCTCAAGTACCTCGTACCCCAGCACATTGACTCGGTACAGGTATTCCTTTTATATAGCTTCGTTATTTTATTGTGTTCCTATTTCCTTTTTTTGGTGCAAATGTTCTTACTTTTTAACTCTGGTTGTTGGGAGAGGGCTCGTAAGTAAGCACTTCACAGTAAAGTCTACACTTGTTGTATTCGGTGCATGGGGAGCAGAGAGATAATTTTGCAGCTTTAAAGCTAATTTCCTGTAATAAATAAATAAATAAAATGGCTTATGACATATTCAGTTTACATGCACTCAATTAGTATTTAGTAGCATTGCCTTTAAATTGTTTAACTTGGGTCAAACGCTTCGGGTAGCCTTCCACAAGCTTCCCACAATAAGTTGGGTGAATTTTGGCCCATTCCTTCTGACAGAGCTGTGTAACTGAGTCAGGTTTGTAGGCCTCCTTGCTCGCACACGCTTTTTCAGTTCTGCCCACACATTTTCTATAGGATTGAGGTCAGGGCTTTGTGATGGCCACTCCAATACCTTGACTTTGTTGTCCTTAAGCCATTTTGCCACAACTTTGGAAGTATGCTTGGGGGTCATTGTCCATTTGGAAGACCCATTTGCGACCAAGTTTTAACTTCCTGACTGATGTCTTGAGATGTTGCTTCAATATATCCACATAATTTTCCTTCCTCATGATGCCATCTATTTTGTGAAGTGCATTAGTCCCTCCTGCAGCAAAGTACCACCACAGCATGATGCTGCCACCCCCGTGCTTCACGATTGGGATGGTGTTCTTCGGCTTGCAAGCCTTCCCCTTTTTCCTCCAAACATAACGATGGTCATTATGGCCAAACAGTTCTATTTTTGTTTCATCAGACCAGAGGACATTTCTCCAAAAAGTACGATCTTTGTCCCCGTGTGCAGTTGCAAACCATAGTCTGCCTTTTTTATGGCGGTTTTGGAGCAGTGGCTTCTTCCTTGCTGGGCGGCCTTTCAGGTTATATGTCTATATGACTCGTTTTACTGTAGATATAGATACTTTGTACCTGTTTCCTCCAACATCTTCACAAGGTCCTTTGCTGTTGTTCTGGGATTGATTTGCACTTTTCGCACCAAAGTACGTTCATCTCTAGAACGCGTCTCCTTCCTGAGCAGTATGACGGCTGCGTGGTCCCATGGTGTTTATACTTGTGTACTATTGTTTGTACAGATGAACGTGGTACCTTCAGGCGTTTGGAAATTGCTCCCAAGGATGAACCAGACTTGTGGAGGTCTACAATTTTTTTTCTAAGGTCTTGGCTGATTTCTTTTGATTTTCCCATGATGCCAAGCGAAGAGGCACTGAGTTTGAAGGTAGGCCTTGAAATACATCCACAGGTACACCTCCAATTGACTCAAATGATGTCAATTAGCCTATCAGAAGCTTCTAAAGCCATGATATCATTTTCTGGAATTTTCCAAGCTGTTTAAATGCACAGTCAACTTAGTGTATGTAAACATCTGACCCACTGGAATTGTGATACAGTGAATTATAAGTGACAATCTGTCTGTAAACAATTGTGGGAAAAATTACTTGTGTCATGCGCAAAGTCGATGTCCTAAGCAACTTGCCAAAATTATAGTTTGTTAACAAGAAATTTGTGGAGTGGTTGAAAAACAAGTTTTAATGACTCCAACCTAAGTGTATGTAAACTTCCGACTTCAACTGTACTATCTGGGGGGCCCGACCTCCGGAGGGACTCCAACCCTCCCCCTCCTTCCCAAAATTAAAATCCCCAAAGCTCGTGGGTGACCCTATACGAACTGTTATCATGAACGGTAACCTAGATCTTTCTTCTGCCAATTTTCACAACAATCCAATACTTTCTTTTGTCTCATCCTGCTTTAGCGCACTCTAGTGGCCCACTGGCGTCTATTTATTAATATTCTTCATATTTTCATAATTCATCAACCGTATTTGAAAACTCCCGCTGAAAATCTGGAGTTTCTATGTCAAACAGGCAGTAGCCTCTAAGGTGCAGTGTTGAGTATCCAGGTGGTAGCCGGCTAGTGATGGCTATTTAACAGTCTGATGGCCTTGAGATAGAAGCTGTTTTTCAGTCTCTCTGTCCCAGCTTTGATGCACCTGTACTGACCTCGCCATCTGGATGATAGAGAGGTGAACAGGCAGTGGCTCGGGTGGTTGATGTCCTTGATTATCTTTTTGGCCTTCTTGTGACATAGGGTGCTGTAGGTGTCCTGGAGGGCAGGCTGTGTGCCCCCAGTGATGCGTTGGGCAGACCGCACCACGCTCTGGAGAGCCCTGCGGTTGCGGGCAGTGCAGTTGCCGTACCAGACGGTGATACAGCCCAACAGGATGCTCTCAATTGTGGATCTGTAAAAGACTAATTTCGTCAGCCTCCTGAGGTTGAAGAGGCACTGTTGCGCCTTCTTGACTACACTGTCTGTGTGGGTGGACCATTTCAGATTGTCAGTGATGTGTATGGAGAGGACCTTGAAGCTTTTCACCTTCTCCACTGCGGCTCCGTCGATGTGGATAGGGCCATGCTCCCTCTGCTGTCTCCTGAAGTCCATGATCAGCTCCTTCATCTTGTTGATGTTGAGGGAGAGGTTATTTTCCTGCACCACTCCGCCAGGGCCCTCACCTCCTCCCTGTAGGCTGTCTCGTCATTGGTAATCAGGCCTACTACTGTTGTCATCTGCAAACTTGATGATTGAGTTGGAGGCGTGCGTGGCCACGCAGTCATGGGTGAACAGGGAGTACAGAGGGGGGGCTGCACGTTATCACAATCACACCATGAGTAGTTATTCATGAAACATACACCACCGCCTTTCTTCTTCCCGGAGAGTTCTTTATTCCTGTCTGTGCGATGTACTGAGAACCCAGCTGGCTATATGGGCGGGGACAGTATATCCGGAGAGAGCCATGATTCCGTGAAACAGAGTATGTTACAGTCCCTGATGTCTCTCTGAAAGGAGATCCTCGCCCTGAGCTCATCTACTTTATTGTCCAGGGACTGAACATTAGCGAGTAATATACTCGGAAGCGGTGGATGGTGTGCACGCCTCCTGAGTCGGACTAGAAGTCCACTCCGAATACCTCTTCTCTGCCGGCGGCGTCTTGGAGCAGCCTCTGGGATAAGTTAAAATGCCCTGGGGGGTACGAACAATGGATCCAATTTGGGAAAGTAATATTTTGGGAAAGTCGTAGTTTGGGAAAGTCATACCCCTACCTACATATACAAATTACCTTGACTAACCTGTACCCCCGCACATTGACTCAGTACCGGTACCCCCTGAATATATCCTTGGTATTGTAATTTATTATTTTTTACTTTAGTTTATATAGTAAATATTTTCTTAACTCTATTTCTTGAACTGCATTGTTGGTTAAGGGCTTGTAAGTACCGTATTTTCCGCACTATAAGGCGCACTTAAAAGCCTTTAATTTTCTCAAAAAACGACAGTGCGCCTTATAATCCGGAGCACCTTATATATGGAACAATTGGTTAATTGGTTGATCCATACTGGTTGTACACGGCGCTCAAGGCACTCTGTCAAAATGTTTCAGTATGAAAAACCAATAAAAACAATTTAATAATAATGAAATGTTTCAGTACGACTGGTAAACTACAAAGCCGCACCGCTTGCAGCATTACGGCTACCGTAGTCAGTAAACACCGGTACTGTGCTTACTCACAGTCCCACACCACTTGTGTGTGTATAAAGACCCCAAAATGGCACCTTTCAAGAGACACGCTTATGACGCAGAGTTCAAGCTCAAGGCTGTCGGTCACGCAGTAGAATATTGGAATAGAGCAGCAGCGAGAGAATTCAACATTAATGAATCAATGGTACGGAAGTGGAGGAAGCAAGAAGATGACCTGCGCCAAGTAAAGAAGACTAAACAGAGTTTCCGAGGGAACAAAGCGAGATGGCCACAGTTAGAGGACAAACTCGAACAGTGGGTTGTTGAACAGAGAGCAGCAAGTAGAAGCGTCTCTACAGTCACTATTCGAATGAAGGCAACAGCGCTAGCACGGGACATGATCATCGATGAATTTCGAGGCGGTCCTTCTTGGTGCTTTCGTTTTATGAAAAGACGTAATCTCTCCATCCGCACACGAACTACCGTCTCGCAGCAACTGCCAAAAGAAAAGAAAAGCTGGTCACTTTCCGCGCATACTGCAAAAAGAAGATCACTGAAAAGAAGATCCGGCCAGAGCACATCACCAACATGGACGAGGTTCCACTCACCTTTCATATTCCCGTGAACCGCACTGTGGAGAAAACGGGGACCAGTACGGTGTCTGTACGCACCACAGGGAATGAGAAGTCATCCTTCACTGTAGTTCTCGCCTGCCAGGCTAATGGCCAGAAAATTCCACCCATGGTTATTTTCAAGAGGAAGACCTTGCCAAAAGAAAACTTTCCAGCCGGCGTCGTCATCAAAGCTAGCCTGAAGGGCTGGATGGATGAGGAAAAGATGAGTGAGTGGCTGAGAGAAATTTACGTCAAGAGACCGGGTGGCTTTTTCCACACAGCTCCGTCCCTATTGATCTACGACTCCATGCGCACCCATATCACCGATGCTGTCAAAAAACAAGTGAAGCAAACTAATTCGGAGCTTGCCGTCATTCCGGGTGGATTAACTAAAGAACTCCAGCCGCTAGATATTGGTGTCAACAGGGCGTTCAAAGCTAGACTGCGAGCTGCGTGGGAGCAGTGGATGACAGAATAATAATAATATGCCATTTAGCAGACGCTTTTATCCAAAGCGACTTACAGTCATGCGTGCATACATTTTTTTTGGTGTATGGGTGGTCCCGGGGATCGAACCCACTACCTTGGCGTTACAAGCGCCGTGCTCTACCAGCTGAGCTACAGAGGACCACCTAAATGAGTCTACAATTTCGCTAACTATCTCACCACATTCGACCTTTAAAAACAATGTAGAAAACAGAATAACGTGACACAGAAATATACACAACACTGGTATACAAGTCTCATTTTTGGTAAATAAATGTTGCATGCATTTATTTCTAACATGCATCAAGCAATTACTGTAGCAGATTGAGAGAGTAGAGCAACAGAAGGCGTACACACGTTCATCAAGACGGGGAGACAGCGCCGGGCAACTTACGCCACTATCTGCCAATGGATCGTGGATGCCTGGGCTGATATATCAGTCTCAACTGTGGTCCAAGCTTTCACGAAGGCAGGAATAATCTCTGAACTGCCAGGCAACAGCAGCGACACTGACTCGGATAATGACGAGAGGGAGCCGGGCAGGTTGGATGCCGTAGTCGCCCAACTGTTCAATTCGGACACTGAAGAAGAATAATTCGAGGGATTCGTGGACGGGGAATGAACTGAAAAAGTGAGCTTTACGTGTTATACGTAACTGAACAATGTTGAGTTATGCACTAACGTTTGATTTAGTGGTATCAGACTGTTTCTTTTACTACGTGTTTACTGAATCAGGGAAAAGTTCCCCTCCACGTTTGGGAGAAGAGTGAGCAAGGCTGGGAGATATTGTTAATATGCACATTAACGTTTGAACAACGTTACCATGGGAGTGAATGGAGTTGTCAGAACGCTTAATAAAGTTTGACTTTATCTGACTGTTTTGTTGACATTCCCTTTAGCACAGCTCCATCTAGTGGATACATAACGCAACCCCAGTCAAACGTTTGACTGCAGTATCTTCTATTCTATGCACCTTATAATCCGGTGCGCCCTATATATGAAAACAGTTCTAAAATAGGCCATTCATTGAAGGTGCGCCTTATAATCCGGTGCGCCTTATAGTGCGGAAAATACGGTAAGCATTTTACGGTAAGATCTACACCTGTTGTATTCGGTGGATGTGACAAATACAATTTGATTTGATTTGTGGTCATAATGCTGGTGAGTTACCGCCGCTCTGATATCCAAAAGTTATTTCTGGCTGTATGTAATAACACAAACAACGTTCTGGGCTAATAATGTAAGAAATAACACACAAAAAAACAAAATACTGCAAAGTTGCTTAGGAGCTAGAAGCAGAGCTGCCATGTCTGTCGGCGCCATCTATTTTACTTCAGGAATGATGTTCAAACCCCTGCTCATATGAAACCTCTCTCCTGGATGAATCAATTGATCCACACCAGTCACTCTCCTCCATCCTCACCTACCACAGGTACTTTTGGCTGGCTGAGTTAGCGCTTTATAGCCTATGCTAGCACAACACTATTTTGAATATCTAGTTTATTCAATTGTTATAGCCAACTGACTCGCTTTTGAAAGAAATCCTGAATATGCTGCCAAGCAATTGTGGTCCCAACAAGGGCCCCTGTTTATAGTGTCTTTAGGCTATCCAGGGCTTTTTAAATTCAGAGACCAAAAATACTAAACATTTACACAATTGTATTTCACCTTTCAGGAATCTCCGTGATGCAACCTCTCCCCGGATTACAAAAAAATAAGTATTACTACTCACCGCAGCTGTGTCCCTGACCAGAGCTCCCCTTTGCATGCACATAAAAATCTATAGGTATCTGTACATCCCCTTTACTGTGGCATGAACAAAGGCTACCTGTATTTCCCTTGCCTGTCCTTTGCTCTGTATTTGTAGTGTCTGTATAGCATCAACATTGAGTAAAGCTGGAACAGTTCAAATGGGCTGTGGGCCTGTGTTCGGTACAGCTACATGTTCAATACAGCTAAACTGTCATGACCTGTGCAATTGACACCTCTCCACTAGATGGGGTGATGTACTTGTTGGTGATAGAACAGTTGGTGTTGAAGGGGTCACAAGAGTACATTGCCTATCAAGTCTCCTCACTGCTGATTGGTCAGTTCAGTGGAGCCACATCCTTATCTGCTCCATGCTGGAGACGGGGAGGTGTAGTTGAGTGAGCTGGAGGCTTTTATGGTCTGTGCCTGTCAGCTTGTAGCATGATGAGTGAGGGTGAGAAAGGGCCTGTAAGATATCTGTAAGATATTTTGAAGAATAGGTCTAAAACCGTAAATGTATTTGGAGAGGTTTTTGGCCACCGGGCCTAAACACAAACACTCATGAACATCAAAGAATGTCATTTTATCCATAAAATTGCTGTAGAAAGATTTGACACAATTTGACATTTTGGAGAGGTTTTTGACACCTAAAAGCCTTGGTATGGATAAAAGCACATACAGTCAGATTGGTAGAAGATATCTGCGCGATTTTCAGGGCACATGTTGACAAGATGTCGGGGAATCACTGGAGGGGGATATTGACCAGCTGAGCATATTTGAATAGTCACCTCAGTGTACAGATCAATAAACAAACTAGGCGTTTTGTTATATTTCAGTCTTCTGTGATATACTGTATATAAAGTGTCATATTGGGATGCAAACTCAAAATTGAATACATTTCAACTCTATATCATACATGGTACAGGTGTCTTCTTCAATGTAAGCCCATAACCATGTGTGAGGTGTATACGTTTGTTTCAAAGTAGATTTGTTTAAGACTACCAAGAAACGCTGTGTGGACACGTTTTAGCCCACCGCGGTAAAAGGTTCATGACCCTATATTGACTGTTCACTCTATAAGTCTCCCTCTTTCACTCTTTCTTTCAATCTCTCACCCTCTTTAACTCTCTCTTTCCCATGTAGACATGATACAACTGGGACAGGTATGGACTGATTCCAAGAAACCTTGCAGGCTACTCCTTCGTCTCTTGACTATAAGGTTATTGGGTTGAAAATTAAGAGAAAGTGAAAAGGCCTGGTATCGCACAGAGACTCAGCTAAGAGCTACTCTCTAAATCAGTTATATGTGATGCAGGATTATATTTGCTCTTAATCGTGATTGTGTGTGTGCCCCTAGTCAGCGAGATCAATCAGTACCATTGGGAGGCCGCTGATCCAGAGAACCAATAGGTCAATAGTCCTATAACTGACTCAGATGGCATCTATCAATAGTGTGGTATGATCAATGAATGGTAGGCTACCATATTTCTACACAGGCAGGTATTTTGGCTCTGACCATGTAATTATAAATAATTTGCAGTTTATAACATGACAAAAATGTAGCTTATTTTAAAAATCTAAATTCAACCTATAACACAAGTACAATCACCTATCTATTACATAGGAGCAAAGTTTCCAGCATTGTAAAATTAATTTCACCCCATGTGTCAAGACCACAAGTTATTATTCTTGAAAGTAAATTTGACTGCTAATCTAAAATTGCCCTAAACACATGAAAGAGAGGAGTACTCCTTGTGCGTAAAAGTCCCCATCCAGGCGATCAATTGATGACAGGGACCGGTGAAATCAAGGGCCAGCGTAGGGTACTGTAGCCTACCTATGGATGCTTGACTGGCGAGCATCGAGGCGGAGAGGGAACCGGCCGAAGCCCCGTAGATCTTGGTGGCTCCTTTGATAAGGTAAGGCGCTTGTTCTGAAAGACAGCTGGCCACTCCGATGTGATAGATCCCCAGGAACCCGCAGCCGGCGAACGACAGATTCCATTCCTTCGTTAGGTCGAACATCCCTGGTGGACAGTCTTTAACGACGACCTACAAGTTGGGGTAAATGCGATAGTTATGATCACACCAAAATGTTTACTTTTTTGACAAGTTCCCGAAAGATATAGGAATAGAGGACGGCTCAAACTAGCGCACACTAGTCAGTCCACTCCTCAATGCAAAGTACGAAGAGACTGACAGTCAAGTTTCGAGAATCGCGGGAGCGCTGAACTACCCGGTTCTAGAACAGGGCAGGTCTGGCCAATCCGCATAACGAGGCAGAGTCTTATTTTAGGTGGAGCCACGCCCCACATTCTGCATTGGAAATAAATGAGAGAGAGATGCATTATATTAATAATTCTATGCATTCTATTAATTCATGTATATTATATTCTAATTTGTATATTTGTTTCACCTGCCTGTAACAAGTCGAACCTTATTAACCGATTTGAGTAACCTATATCACCCACTGCGGTCAAGTGTGCGGAGACTCGCAAAACGCAGTCAAGCCAGCCGCGCTTCAGGGCCCGCCTGAATTCGGTGCGCGAATACACAACACTTTACGGTATCGCGTGTTTTCAGGTTGAGGAACTGAGCGCAAAAGATCAGGTCGGACCATTCTAGCCAATGAGATAAGCGTGTGAACAACAGGCACAACTTCGATATAAAGTATTCTTTCGCAAAGTTGCCGGGATGTCACGTGCCCTACTTATATCAGTATACTCGTAACAACCTACTCATTGCTAAACTTATATTCGATCAAATAAGGACATTTGATACAGGAGCTCGGAGGCATGCATCGAAATCGTTAAGCTGCTAACGCCTCGATCACACCTACAGTGTTTTGCGCGAAAGCATCATCGGGATATGTGTGCAACAAAAGTTCAACATTCATCTTCTGCTACCACTTCTGTCAAGCCATCTACACATACAATTTGATGCATGCCTTTGATAAATCCAACTTATGCACCACACAGAACGCACTGCAACAGCCTCTGCAATGAAATGCTGCAAGGCAAATGCACCCGTAGCTCACAGGTGTATAAAATCGAGCACACCGCCATGCAATCTCCATAGACAAACATTGGAAGTAGAATGGCCTTACTGAAGAGCTCAGTGACTTTCAACGTGGCAACCGTCATAGGATGCCACCTTTCCAACAAGTCAGTTTGTCAAATTTTCTGCCCTGCTAGAGCTGCCCCGGTCAACTGTAAGTGCTGTTATTGTGAAGTGGAAAAGTCTAGGAGCAACAACCGGCTCAGGAGCGAAGTGGTAGGCCACACAAGCTCACAGAACTGGACCGCCGAGTGCTGAAGCAAGTAGCTCTAAAAAAAAAAACGTCTGTCCTCGGTTTGCACACCACTACCAATTCCAAACTGCCTCTGAAGCAACGTCACACAAACGTTGTCCGGACTCAACTCTATATCATACATGGTACAGGGTCTTCTCATGTAAGCCAACCATGTGTGGGGTGTACTTTTTCAACAGATTTGTTAAGACTACCAAAACGCTGTGGGACCGTTTAGCCCACCGCGGTAAAAGGTTCATGACCCTATTGACTGTCACTCTATAAGTCTCCCCCTCTTTCACTCTTTCTTTCAATCTCTCACCCTCTTTAACTCTCTCTTCCCATGTAGACCATGATACAACTGGGACAGGTTGGACTGATTCCAAGAAACCTTGCAGGCTACTCCTTCGTCTCTTGATATAAGGTTATTGGGTTTGAAATTAAGAGAAATGAAAAGGCCTGGTATCGCACAGAGACTCAGTAAGAGCTACTCTCAAATCTTATATGTGATGCAGGATTATATTTGCTCTTAATCGTGATTGTGTGGTGTGCCCCTAGTCGCGAGATCAACAGTACCATTGGGAGGCCGCTGATCCTGAGAACAATAGGTCAATAGTCGCCTAAAAACTGACTCAGATGGCTCTTCAATAGTTTTGTATGATCAATGAATGGTTAGCTACCATATTTCACCAGGCGGGTATTTGGCTCTGACCATGTAATTATAAAATTTGCAGTTAGAACATGACAAAAATTGTAGCTTATTTTAAAAATCTAATTCAACTTAAACCAGTACAATCACCTATCATTACATAGGAGCAAGTTTCCAGCATGTAAAATTAATTTCACCCCATGTGTCAAGACCACAAGTATTATTCTTGAAAGTTAATTTGACTCGCTAATCTAAAATTGCCCTAAACACATGAAAGAGGATACCCTTTGGGTGCGTAAAGTCCCCATCCAGGCGATCATTGATGACAGGGACCGGTGAATCAAGGCCAGCGTAGGGTACTGTAGCCTACCTATGGATGCTTGACTGGCGAGAATCGAGGCGGAGAGGGAACCGGCCGAAGCCCCGTAGATCTTGGTGGCACCTTTGATGAGGTAGGGCGCTTGTTCTGAAAGACAGCTGGCCACTCCGATGTGATAGATCCCCAGGAACCCGCAGCCGGCGAACGACAGATTCCATTCCTTCGTTAGTCGAACATCCCTGGTGGACAGTCTTTAACGACGACCTACAAGTTGGGGTAAATGCGATAGTTATGATCACACCAAAATGTTTACTTTTTTGACAAGTTCCCGAAAGATATAGGAATAGAGGACGGCTCAAACTAGCGCACACTAGTCAGTCCACTCCTCAATGCAAAGTACGAAGAGACTGACAGTCAAGTTTCGAGAATCGCGGGAGCGCTGAACTACCCGGTTCTAGAACAGGGCAGGTCTGGCCAATCCGCATAACGAGGCAGAGTCTTATTTTAGGTGGAGCCACGCCCCACATTCTGCATTGGAAATAAATGAGAGAGAGATGCATTATATTAATAATTCTATGCATTCTATTAATTCATGTATATTATATTCTAATTGTATATTTGTTTCACCTGCTGTAACGTGTTATTAACCGATGTACATTCAATTCGAAGTGTGCGGAACTCGCAAAACAGTCACCAGCCGGCTCAGGGCCGCTGAATTCGGCGCGTACAAAAATTACGGAGCGCGTTAGAACTGAGCGCAAAAGATCAGGTCGGACCATTCAGCCAATGAGATAGCGTGTTGAACAACAGCACAACTCCGATATAAAGTATTCTTTCGCAAAAGTTGCCGGGATGTCACGTGCCCGACTTATATCAGTATCTCGTAACAACCTACTCATTGCTAAACTTATATTCGATCAAATAAGGACATTGATACAGGAGCTCGGAGGCATGCATCGAAATCGTTAAGCTGCTAACGCCTCGATCACACCTACAGTGTTTTGCGCGAAAGCATCATCGGGATATGTGTGCAACAAAAGTTCAACATTCATCTTCTGCTTCACTTCTGTCAAGCCATCTACACATACAATTTGATGCATGCCTTTGATAAATCCAACTTATGCACCACACAGAACGCACTGCAACAGCCTCTGCAATGAAATGCTGCAAGGCAAATGCAACCCGTAGCTCACAGGTGTATAAAATCGAGCACACCGCCATGCAATCTCCATAGACAAACATTGGAAGTAGAATGGCCTTACTGAAGAGCTCAGTGACTTTCAACGTGGCACCGTCATAGGATGCCACCTTTCCAACAAGTCAGTTTGTCAAATTTCTGCCCTGCTAGAGCTGCCCCGGTCAACTGTAAGTGCTGTTATTGTGAAGTGGAAAAGTCTAGGAGCAACAACGGCTCAGGAGCGAAGTGGTAGGCCACACAAGCTCACAGAACTAGGACCGCCGAGTGCTGAAGCAAGTAGCTCTAAAAAAAAACGTCTGTCCTCGGTTGCAACACTCACTACCAAGTTCCAAACTGCCTCTGGAAGCAACGTCAGCACAATAACTGTTCGTCGGGAGCTTCATGAAATGGGTTTCCATGGCCGAGCAGCAGCACACAAGCCTAAGTTCACCATGTGCAACACCAAGCGTCGGCTGGAGTGGTGTAAAGCTAGCCGCCATTGGACTCTGAAGCAGTGGAAACGCGTTCTCTGGGGTGTTGAATCACGCTTCACCATCTGGCAGTCCAACAGACAAATCTGGGTTTGGCGGATGTCCAGGAGAACGCTACCTGCCCCGAATGCATAGTGCCAACTGTAAAGTTTGATGGAGGAGGAATATTGGTCTAGGGCTGTTTTTCATGGTTCGGGCTAGGCCCCTTAGTTCCAGTGAAGGGAAATCTTAACGCTACAGCATTCATCTCATTGAAGACACACTATTCTGAAAATTGTTTTATGTGAAACCACACTTTCTGCACTGATGTTCAAATAATTTGTTTTCTTTAGTATAGTATAATATTCTGTCTTAAGCATCCTAAATAATGCCATAGATTCAGTTTTTGAAAAAGAGTAAACTTGAAGGCAAAAAAGGGAAGCATGATGTAAGATGCAAATATGGTATTCCAACTGACTATCGGCTACTAAAGCCAACGATTTACTGCTGCACCACGGAGTTTTGATTAAAACAGTGGACAAAATGGTTTTTGCTGCTATTTATTGCTGACCAGCAGATGTCACTAATGTCCATTGGGAACAGAAAATGAATCTCCGAGTACCGTTTTCCGGTACAAATAAGCTTCACGTAGCAAATAAGCTGTTATTTTTTTTGTTGACCAAATTCGACACTCTCAATGAACTCCATACAAAAAACCCTTGCTTGGTGATCAAAAACAAAGATTTGGGGCCCAGTTATCAAATCAAATGTTATTTGTCACACGCACCGAATAAAACAGGCATAGACTTTACCGTGAATTGCTTACTTACGAGCCCTTTCCCAACAATGCAGAGTTAAAAAGTAAGACAAATGAGTTAATAAAAAAAGGAAATAGTAACACAATAAAATAACAACAATGAGGCTATATACAATGAGTACCAACCGGTACCGAGTCAATGTGCAGGGGTACGAGGTAGTTGAGGTAAGATGTAATATGTACATGTAGGTAGGGGTAAAAGTGACTAAGCAATCGGGATAGATAATAAACAGAGTAGCAGCAGCGTATGGAAAGAGTGTGAACGTGTGTCTATGTGTGAGTGTGTGTGTGGCGTCAATATGAATGTGTTTGTTTTGTGTGTGTGAGTGTATGTAGTGTACATGTATGTGTGTGTTGGAGTGTCAGTGTAGTATGTGTGGGTAGAGTCCAGTGAGTGTGCATAGAGCCAGTGCAAGAAAAGAAACAAAAGGGGGTTCAATGCAAATCCCTCTTGCTTCGCCTCTTCCTCTCTGGTCAAAAGCGCTCTCTAGCACAGATAGAGCCCATAGCTACAAATCATTCCAAGCAAACAGTTTGAAGCACACAAATCGTTAATTTCATTTTCACGTCTTATCAAAAATTACTTTGAAATCATGGGTAGAGTGTGGCTGCAGAGGGTGCTGTTGAGCAAATGTTCAGTTGTGAAAGCAAGATGTACAGTTGAAGTCGGAAGTTTACATACACCTTAGCCAAATACATTTAAACTCAGTTTTTCACAATTCCTGACATTTAATCCTAGTAAAAATTCCCTCAGTTAGGATCACCACTTTATTTTAAGAACGTGAAATGTCAGAATGATAGTAGAGAGTGATTTATTTCAGCTTTTATTTATTTCATCACATTCCCAGTGGGTCAGAAGTTTACATACACTCAATTAGTATTTGGTAGCATTGCCTTTCAATTCTTTAACTTGGGTCAAACGTTTTGGGTAGCCTTCCACAAGCTTCCCACAATAAGTTGGGTGCATTTTTGCCCATTCCTCCTGACAGAGCTGGTGTAACTGAGTCAGGTTTGTAGGCCTCCTTGCTCACACACGCTTTTTCAGTTCTGCCCACACATTTTCTATAGGATTGAGGTCAGGGCTTTGTGATGGCCACCCCAATACCTTGACTTTGTTGTCCTTAAGCCATTTTGCCACAACTTTGGAAGTATGCTTGGGGTCATTGTCAATTTGGAAGACCCATTTGCGACCAAGCTTTAACTTCCTGACTGATGTCTTGAGATGTTGCTTCAATATATCCACATAATTTTCCTTCCTCATGATGCCATCTATTTTGTGAAGTGCACCAGTCCCTCCTGCAGCAAAGCACCCCCACAGCATGATGCTGCCACCCCGTGCTTCACGGCTGGGATGGTGTTCTTCGGCTTGCAAGCACCCCCTTTTTCCTCCAAACATAACAATGGTCATTATGGCCAAACAGTTCTATTTTTGTTTCATCAGACCAGAGGACATTTCTCCAAGAAGTACGATCTTTGTCCCCATGTGCAGTTGCAAACCGTAGTCAAACCGTAGACTCGTTTTACTGTGGATATAGATACTTTTGTACCGGTTTCCTCCAGCATCTTCACAAGGTCCTTTGCTGTTGTTCTGGGATTGATTTGCACTTTTCGCACCAAAGTACATTCATCTCTAGGAGACAGAACGTGTCTCCTTCCTGAGCATTTTACTCGATGGCCAAAAAGCTCAATTTTAGTCTCATCTGACCAGAGTATCTTCTTCCATATTTTTGGCGAGTCTCCCACATGCCTTTTGGCGAACACCAAACATGTTTGCTTATTTTTTTCTTTAAGCAATGGCTTTTTTCTGGCCACTCTTCTGTAAAGCCCAGCTCTGTGGAGTGTACGGTTTAAAGTGGTCCTATGGAGAGATACTTCAATCTCCGCTGTGGAGCTTTGCAGCTCCTTCAGGGTTATCTTTGGTCTCTTTGTTGCCTCTCTGATTAATGCCCTACTTGCCTGGTCCATGAGTTTTGGTGGGCGGCCCTCTCTTGGCAGGTTTGTTGTGGTGTCATATTCTTTCCATTTTTTTATAATGGATTTAATGGTGCTCTATGGGATGTTCAAAGTTTCAGATATTTTTTTAGAACCCAACCCTGATCTGTACTTCTCCACAACTTTGTCCCTGACCTGTTTGGAGAGCTCCTTGGTCTTCATGGTGCCGCATGCTTGGTGGTGCCCCTTGCTTAGTGGTGTTGCAGACTCTGGGGCCTTTCAGAACAGGTGTATATATACTGAGATCATGTGACACTTAAATAAAGTCCACCTGTGTGTAATCTAACTAATTATGTGACTTCTGAAGGTAATTGGTTGCACCAGATCTTATTTAGGGGCTTCATAGCAAAGGGGATGAATACATATGCACGCACCACTTTTCCGTTACTTATTTTTTAGAATTTTTTGAAACAAGTAATTTTTTTCATTTCACTTCACCAATTTGGACTATTTTGTGTATGTCCATTACATGACATCCACATTAAAAATCAATTTAAATTACAGGTTGTAATGCAACAAAATAGAAAAAATACCAAGGGGGATGAATACTTTTGCAAGGCACTGTAAACCTTGTGCTGGGGACAATAAAAGGCCACTCTAAAATGTGCCATTTTGTCACACAACACAATGCCACAGATGTCTCAAGTTTTGAAGGAGTGTGCAATTGGCATGCTGATGGCAGGAATGTCCACCAGAGCTGTAGCCAGAGAATATGTTAATTTCTCTACCACGTCGTTTTAGAGAATTTGGCAGTACGTCCAACCGGCCTCACAACCGCAGACCACGTGTCAGCA